TCCTGAAGTTAAGGCCTGAAAGGAGCTCCCAACTACCTTGAGCTCAACCATTATCCTCCTCGGGAGCAGCGAGGATCACCATTGATCCGAATGAAGTGTGCTGTCTTCATAGACCGCCCTATCGATCTGTGTAAAGTGCTGCGAGTGATTGGCATGAATCATCGATCCGCCACTAAGTGGCCGCTGCTTTAATAACGTGTCAATGGACAGGCTGATCGACCTGCAGTCCAAGCTCATCATCGCCATCGACGTGGCCAAGGGCATGGAGTACCTGCACAACCTCACCCAGCCGATCATCCACAGGGACCTCAACAGGTGGGAGCCACGTCGGTTCGGTACTAACAGAATAGAAGAACGTTGTCGTTACCAATGATTGGTGTGATCCTTCCAGCCACAACATTCTGCTGTATGAGGACGGGCATGCGGTGGTGGCCGACTTTGGAGGTGAGAGAGCCGTTGCGGTGGAGAAGAAAATGAAAGCTGCCTAAGCGGTTTTATTGAAATAATACAATACTGTTGGTAAGAGGGCGACTATTTTGATTTTCATCAGCAATAAAACTCACACACTTTATTCAATTTTAGGAGTTTTAGAGCTAAAGCCCCACTTGGTCCGGTATGACCAGTAGCTTATGTTCTTTCAACCAATATTATTAAATAATTGACATTACTGAGTCAGTTTACTTGCTTTAATGGGCGTCGTCATTTGTGCTTCAGTTCTGTTTTGCACTTTTAATACTATTCTTCGCATCGCCTGTGAGCACAGTCGCGTCAGTTTGAATAAAGCTTTAACGTCATGGCCAAGTAGCGTTTATAGCACATGCAAACAAAGGGGGGGATAGGATTAGCAAAGAGAAACTTCCTTCCATCCCGCCGTCCTTTGTTAAACTGTCTTTATTAAGTCAAGTCTTTAATTGGTTTCGCTTGTTTTCGTTATTTAATTGACAATCTCTTTCTTTTCAGAATCTAGATTCCTACAATCTGTGGACGAGGACAACATGACCAAGCAGCCGGGGGTCGGTGCCGTTTTCCTCTCTCCCTCCTTTGCCAAATACGCTCTCGCCGTGTGCGGCGTCCGTGCAACAAGAGCTGCTGCCGTCACCTGCCATCAATTACCCACCAGCAAAAAAATAAATAAAAAAGGAAAAACTGCTTCCATGCAGAATTTGCCGTGATGCGCTGACTCATCACTACTCAAAGTGCTTGGCATGCAGTTTTGTGTTAAGTGTGTTACATCTCTTGAGGACTGCCTGCTGGGAGGAACTACTTGCCCTTGCTGGGACGCAGTGTTTATCAGTCAGTAATTGGGCCTGATGTTGTGTGTGTGTGTGTGTGTGTGTGTGTTTGTGTGTAATGGCCTAAAGAAAAATGGAAGAATCTCTCTGAGGCAATAAAGATTCACTTGTGTGTGTTTGTGCACATCCGCGTGTTTCTGTGTGTGTTAACAGAACCTGCGTTGGATGGCGCCCGAGGTGTTCACCCAGTGCACTCGCTACTCTGTGAAGGCCGACATGTTCAGCTACGCCCTCTGTCTGTGGGAGCTGCTTACTGGAGAAATTCCCTTCGCTCACTTGAAACCAGGTATTTGGGCCTAAACGCTCGTAGTCTGTTTGCATGCTGGAGGTTAAACTGAGGGAGGACCCTCACGAGAGATACGAGAGAAGGAAAAAAAAGCACAAAAAACCCCAAACCCTTTGACATGTAAAAGCAGCTGCAGGTAATAGAAGAACACATGATGTTTCAATCATTCCTTCAAGATCACTAAGATCTTCTGACACCAATCTGTTAGTGATTCCCAGAGTAAATACAAATCATGGGAAAGCATCATTTAGTTACTACGCAACAAACAGCTGGAATAAACTTCCTGAAGACTTAAGACTTGCTCCAACTCTGACCACGTTTAAAACAAGACTGAAAACTTTTATGTTCAGCTTTGCCTTCTGCTAAATCTGCATTGCAATTTTAACCTCTGCCTTTAATTAAACAATTTAAATAAGATTTTAATTTATAATTTAATTTGCTTTTATTTGCTGTTTTTAATTGTCTTTTAATTCCTGCATTTTATTTCCCTTTATTGTATGAAATGTTATGATGTGAAGCACTTTGAGTCTGCCTTGTGTATGAAAAGCGCTATACAAATAAAATTGCCTTGCCTTGCCTTGCCTAAATTTAATTAGGTCTTACGAAACCCGACTAGATTTCTGAAGTGTTTCTGTCCACACAGCTGCTGCTGCAGCAGACATGGCGTACCATCACATCCGGCCTCCTGTTGGCTACTCCATCCCCAAACCCATCTCCGCCCTTCTGATGAGAGGCTGGAACGCCTGCCCGGAGGTGAATGACACAATGTGACTCCCAAACAACTTCATCGACAATAGATTTTCTGTATCTACAAAAATCCACCGTGAGCTCTCACGTCTCGAGCAGGTGTTGCTTGCTCGTCTCAAATCAACGCAAAAATATTCTCGCCATTAGCATCCTCTCCCGTCATTAGCTGTTAAGACACACTGAGGCTCGGAGATGATGCTGAGCAAACGGCTTCTGCAGACACGTCCCCGGACGGTGCATTATCTCACGCTAATGAACGCATGGCCTGTGTGTGATCCTCCCCTCGATGCTGCCATTTTCATAATTAGCTGAGCATGTTTTTGTCCTCGGCCTCATTAAGACACATTATGACACGGGCCGAGCGTGCTGGTACGTTGCTCCCTCCGTGGCAACTCTCCTCCCCGTTTGCCAGCTTTAAGGATTGCTCGCTTCCCGCTGTCATCGCATTGTCCCGGTTAAGCTCCGTCAAGAGACATTTAGTAAAAAAAAGCGTCTCATCTTAAAAAGCACGTCCGTGTGCGCCGTGTCTCTCGCGTGTCTCACCTGTGCACCAGCTGCCACGGGGGTTTTAAACGTGGGACACGATGTTCCGCGCAGTAGCATTTCTTTGTCAAAGCCCGAGAGCAGCAGATATCACAATGCAGCTCTCAGGTGTGTGACACAAATTGAATCTGAAATTGCAAAATGTTCCTAATAGCCTCGTGAAAATGACCAGATTGCGTCATCACGATGCATTTCAAAACCATTCAATTGCAGCAGAAGGGTTCTTTCTGTATCTATGCAGGAATCATAGTCTTGAAATACAGCAAATTTGGTGTTCTGGTTTGCATTATTTAGTTTTTTTTGTGTGTTTTCATCTTTCCTGCGTTGTCCTTGTATTGTTGTTGTTGTTGTTGTGTTTTTGTCTGGTGTATTAAAGCAGCCTGCAGGCCGTGGCCTCTATCTGAGGATGTATAATTGAACAGCTCCGGTGGCGCTCCAGTGTTTGTTCTTTTACATCGAGGCAGGAGATCTAAGGACTGCTTTTGAAGCGGAGTTCACCTTTGCTCCATGCGTGGGTGGACTGAAAAAGAGAGACGGTGTCTGAGAGGATACAAGTGTCCCCGTCTGTTGTGTGGGAAACCAAACGAAGCGTTCGATTGTTCGTTATTGAAGCGAGGCATAAATTGCATTCTCCACTTCCCCCCCCCCCGTCTCAGGACAGGCCCGAGTTCTCCGAAGTGCTTTCCAACCTGGAGGAATGCTTGTGCAACGTTGAGGTACCCATCGTCCCGCGCATCCGTTGACTCTTTAACCCTGCAAGCGCGTTGGTGGATAATGTTGTTTGTGTGGCAGCTGATGTCTCCGGCCTCCAGCAACAGCAGCGGCTCCCTGTCGCCCTCCTCCTCCTCCGACTGCCTGCTGGGGCGAGGAGGACCCGGCCGGAGCCAGGTGGCCGCGCTGCGGTCCCGCTTCGAGCTGGAGTACGCGCTCAACTCGCGCGCCTACGCCTTCTGGAGTCAGAGGTCAGAGAATAACCGGGGCCGAGCAGAGACCCGGGTGGTTTGGTTTCCCTGCGGTTGTGTCTTTAAAGTTGGGTGACAAGGGGGGAGAATAACTTTTTAATGGCGTCAAAGTTCATACGAAGCACAAGCCAAATATTGCATTTGTCAAACACACACATATTTGAGCTGCGTTTACAATGAAAACTAGAAAATATCCTTCAGTAAAGTGCAGATCTCCTTGGAAAAGCTCTGCAGAAAAGACTCCCTCTGAACGATTGTTCTACCCGGAACACGTGGACCAGTTAAGAGACTTACTGTAACCGTGAGGATTTGGAGTTGCTGGGATACTGAGCAGGAAACCAAAGGAAAGCTGAACGCTGAACTGAGGAGAAAGTGAAAGCAGCCTCCTGTTGAGCACATTATGTATTGAATTTCTGCTGCCTCTATTTGGCTCCATCTCATCTGTCTCCCTCCGTGTAAACAAAGCTGTATATCTGTCTGCGCTGGTGTCGTTTCACAGTAGAATGACGAGCAGGTGTTGACTTTATGTTTTACTCTTCAGTGAGCGGCGTCGAGCATCCGGAGGCCTTTCGCTGGAGGAACACAGGAGGAACATGCAGTTTTCTCCCATTGATCGAAATGGTTTGTTTATGCAGTATCTTTGAATGTGCTTTTTGAAGCCTTGTTATGTAATGTTGATTATTTCATTCCCTGATCAATGTATGTTTCTGTACTTTCTCATTCACGTAAAGTGTTAATGTGGAATCACACTTGGTAATGTCTTTATAATGTTATTATTTATTATGTCGGTTGTTTGTCTCTCTTCCAGGGTACGTGTCTGATCCCATGAGCACGATGAGATTCTGCTCTTCTTACAGCAGCAGTGGAAGCTTTGAAGACAGCAACTAAACGTCTCCTTTCCACGATCCTATTGTGCCGGTTATCATCACTTCATTTGAATAGTTCGTTGGAGCGTTCTGTATTTGGCTTGTGTTTTCTAAGGTTTTTTTATATACTGTGATTTGAACATTTTAAAACCGTTTTGGCGACGTTTGTGTTTTCTGAATACTGTATGTGGGACAAACAACTCCGTTCTTGTGCACATGGTTTGCACAAATCTCAAGTACAAGTTCCCTGTCAATGAACACGCATTTCCATTCAAATAATAAATTCTTATAAGAAGCCAAAAGATCTGTATTCATCTCACTTGCTTTATTATTTTGAGCGGCCAAATCACACAAATGTTTAGTCACTGACAGATGAAATGATGAAGCCTCACAAACCCACGCTAGCAATAAAAATCACATGATTGAAATATAAATAAATATTCATCTTTTTTTTAAAATAAGAGGTAGTGTTTGCAACAATAATGACACAACTCCGTGTCTCATTTGGAGTTGTGGTTCATTCAACTTATTAGTAACCCGGTAACCAATGAATTAACCACTTTGCATTTTTGTCTCGATGTCGTACAAACGGATAATAATATAACAAATACACGTAAAAGCACTAAAACCCTCATTAACGCGGAGAGGCTGCAATTACAGATTGCCGATCAAAGCCAAAGAACATCAGTGAAAATACAAAGTGTACTTGGGACAAACGTAGCTGTAAGAGTCCAACAACTATTAATGATTCATTAGTTGGTCAGCGTGAGTGGAAGAGTATCTGCTTATAGCTGAGAGCCGCTGCATTCGATACCTCTCACAAACTACGCCTCTTTGTCACCAACAATAGCAAGAGATGGTCTATTGTAAACGTGTCAAAACCCATCATGCAGCTCCTTTTATTTTGGTGAGTCATGGATGAAGAGTATTTAAAAAGACGTAAACACAGAAACCACGAGACACTCGAAGGCCTCTGTCAAAACTCTCATTTGGAGAACTAACTAATAATAAACCCAGATGCATTTCTAAATGGAGCCACCTGATTGTCTAACTGCAAATATACAATTTCCTGTGCCACATTCCTCCTTGTAATCTAAAGTTAGTTAAAGCCCTAATGTCCGCTCTCCGTAAGCAAAGGACGTGAACTCTGACCTAACGTGGTTTCGTCCACCGAGAAGGTGCTCAGCAGGTCTTTACTGAGAGTGCGCCTGATGTCTTCGATCAGCTGCGCGTCTCTTTTGCCTCCGTCGGTGGCGGCGTCTGGCGCTCTACAGGTACCGTCTTCCGGCCGGCTCCCCTCCTGGCTTCCGTCGTCGGACTTGAAATCCGTTATTTCCGTAACTTCTTGACTTTGTTCGCCACTTTTACCCCAGGTTCCTTCGCTATCGTTGGGTTCGGTCTCTCTCGGCATGGAGGGCCCCTCCGGACCGGCCGGACGCTCGCGATGCTCCCCGGTTTCTGATGACGGGAAGAGATCCTTCGCCTCTCCAACTGTTGTTGCCTTTTCTGGACCACTATCGTCCGTCGTCTCTTTGGTTCGGACGCTCTCGCGTCCTCCGCTGGTGACCGATCGATGAGAGCCCGCGATGCTCTCCACTTCAGTCTGAGACGCGCCGGGTCGCTCGGAGGTGTCCTGCATGACACCTCCTTGCACCTTCTCTTCCTCCACAGATCCCCCGCTTCCTTCGTGCTCTTCCGACCCCACGTCCTCCCTGCTCGCAGACTTCGCATCGTTCCCTTCGCTCTCTGTTTTTGGGGTCGAGTCTTTCGTCTCAGTCTCCTCGTCCACTCGCCGTCGGTCTCCCTCACGCGGTTCGCCGTCTTCGCCGTGATCGCTCTCAATGTTTGACACCACAGTGTCCCCTTCGCTCTTGTCCCTTGTCTTGTCTTGTGGCGCGTGCTCTCGCTGTGCGCTTTCAGGCGCCCTCTCCATCTCGAGCGGACTCGATTCCTTCAAGTCCTCCAAGGGCTCGACGAACGTCTCAAAGTACTTTGCCGTCTGATGCACGGTCACCCAGTTTGTGACCAGATCCGCGTTGTCTCCTCTCGCCAAGGCCTGCGGAGCGTTGCTCCCCGCCGCTTCGCTCTCCTCCTTTTCCCCGTTGCTTTGTGCTTTGTGAGGCTTGAGCAGCACACTCGCCCCTTCCTCCGAGGCCTTGCTCGCCTCCTCGGTGTCTGCTCCGTTGTCTTCGTCGGCAGCGGAGAGGTCTGCCGCGGTGGCGGCGGCGTCTCCTCCGTCAGGGGGCGGCTGCCCGTCGGTTCTAGCGCCAGAAGGCGCGGTGGACTCGTCTAACCCGTGCGGTGAGCCGTCTGGATCCGCAGCGGTGTCTGGTGAAGACTGCACCTGGTCAGCCGAAGAAGCAACCACGACCTCACCGACATTTCTCTGCTGGTTGTCGCTCGTTTTCATCAAATCTGACTCTCCGATTTGGTTCCCAGGGTCGGAAATGTTGCCATTGTCCTCCGGTTTTGCGTCACCGTCCTTTTGGTCTTCCGATTTGGACTCCTCTGTTACTTTAGAGCCGGACGCCTGCGGCTCCGAGACGTTTCCGGTGGATTCATCTTGCTTTTCCACACCGCCCTTCTCTTCCACTGCCTCGCTTTGTCCGACATCCACATAAACTTGGTCTCCTTCGCGTTCTTGGAGAGCATCTCCAGACGCCACAGGTGCTGCTGTGGGTTCCTCGGCTGTTCTCCCGTCTGCGGTGTTCGCCGCTGTGTTCACGTCATCCTCGGCCTCAGTTTGGGCCGGTCCCTCGCGGGCGCTCTTCTCTGCGCCGGCAGACATTTCGTCGTTTTCAGCATCAAGTTCTTCCTTTTCACGGTTGTCGCCTCCTCCTTCGGTTTCTTTCATAACATCTTCAGCCTCCTTTGCATTATTTGGCACCTCTTCAGCCGTTTCTGTCCCTTGTGCTGCTTCCCGGTCCGGGGATTCCGCTGACTCGGCAATATTTACATCAGATGTTTTCACATTATCCTGATCCAAGTCTGCATTCTTCTCAGATTCCTGTGGAATCTCAGATATTTCTTCTCCTTCAGCCGGCTCATCAGTTACAACTTTTTTCTCTTCAGATTCTCCCTCATCTTTGTTCTCCTCCTCTTCTGCTTCGCCGTCCTTTTCTCCGTCAGCGTTCATCTTTTCACATTCATTAGTTTCATCAGTTGCGACTCCCTTTTCTTCAGATTGCTCCTCGTCCTTTTTATTTCGTCTTTCGCCTTCGTCTCTCTCTGACTTTTCCGATTCCTCTTCCATCCGTTCATTTGCAACCTTGGCTTCGTCTCCACTGTGGTCTCCCTCAGCTTGTTCTTCATCTGCATTTCCTTCAGCGTTCGAGTCACTTTTATCCCACTCGGAAATGTTTTCCTGGTTTTCTATCCTTTCTTCTGTCTTACACTCATCATTCTCTTCTTCTTCTGTCTCATCTTCACCCTTCTTTTCACTTTCACCTCCTGTTTTCTCCACTGGATTTGTTTGCTTTTCTTCCTCGTCACGTTTCTCCTCCATCTCCTCATCGATTCCAACGGAGGTTTTTTCTGTCTGCTCCTCTCCCAGATCACCGCCACGTTGTTTATTTACATCTTTTCCATCTTCCGCTGCCGACGCTTCCTCCTCTTTAACGTCGTCTTCGGTGCTCTCGTCTTTTGCGACGTCCCCACTTGCATCCGCTGCTCTATGGACCGCGGCGTCTCCGCTCCACTCAAAGGAACTGCTTGAGTTCTCCGCTGTGACTCCCGTCTCTGATGCTGCGTCTCCGTCCTCGCCGTCTCCCCGCCGACTCTCCTCTGCGCCGATCACAGGGGCCTCTTCATAGTTGAGGGCCTCTCGCTCCTCCGAGGGCTCCGCTTTCATCTCCATTGTCTCGCTCGTCGCCATCGCCCCCGCCTCTGCATCATCAGTCCCGTCGGCCTTTATATCCGGCTCTGATACCGATGACTCATCCTCCTCGCCGCTTTTTGTTCCTCGCCCCGTCTCGGCAGCGTTTTCTTTGTTGTTTTCTGCAGCTTCCCCTTCAGTGGATTGAGCGGCAGCATCTTCTTGAGGTTCTGAAGCCTCGGGATCCTCACTAATGGCCTCTTCAGATATCGGGTGCAGAGCCGTGTATTCTGTGGGCTCTGGTTCAGCGTTCTCTGCTGGGGTTTTGTCTTTTTCCCTTTCGACCTTCTCATCTCTGGTGCTGTCACTGTTCTCCCGGGGCTCTTGTTCAGTTTCATTCTCGTGCTCTTTTGGTTCGGACGTCTTGTCGGGATCCTTTAACAGTTTGTTTTCACCAACAACACCTTCCTCACATGTCGTCTCCTCTTCAAGCGCCGGTTGGTGTTCTGTAAGTGTCACAGAATTCACTGCAAATGCATCTGCAAATACAAAGAGGAGAATCTTTAGGAAAGCGTGGTCTTCATTGGATTCAAAGATGATTGAAGTCTAGTACCCTTGCTGTCCTTTTCAGGGCCTTTATGCGTGGACTCGTCCTCCTCGGTGCTGGTGTCGCTCAGTTCGGGCTCCGAGCTGCACTGGGACTCCTTCAATATGGCTTCTGCCAGCTTCTCCTGCACAGATTTGGCTTGGGAGAAGAAGAAAAAAGGGTGCAGCAAGCTGTGGAGTCACTCGCGGTGACAAACAATTGTTTCACGGCAACGAACGAGAAAGCATTTGAACAGCGAACATGTAATGGGAGAACTGAGACAATGAAGAAACATATAGCCGTTAACAAAAGAACGTCTTTAATCCTTCTAGGCGCAAACAGAACATGCAGAACGGATGATTAACATGCACAGAACGAAAGAAACAACACATAAACAAGCATGATTCCGTATATCGGAATAGAAACACTAGTCAGTGTCTTTAAAATACCTATTTTGTGTTATTTTGGGATGTGATTTTCAAACTCCTGATGATAAAATATTAAAACAAACAAAGAAAATCAGCTACCTGTGGCACTTAAATGGTTTATGCAACTTGTTCGGTTGAGGAAACATCTGGTTTGATATTACATTGATAAAAGGAAAAAAAAGATGGTTGTAACACAAAGGTTGATTTGTTTGGGTGCCGTATACCTCTTGATTATGAAGATGTATATTCAGTGGGCTTTTCAAACACTGGGACTTAAAGTATGTACAAAAAAGGTGTCTACGTTCTACTATCTCTGCCTCCGATTGCATTTTCATCCCAACAGATTTCTGCCTTTGTTTTCCCAATTGAATTTTGAAATGTTTGTCCATTTCTCATCATTAATCCTTTAACCTGAATCTTAAAGTGATGAAATTACAATTCAGATATTGTTTAACTTTTACATTAAAAGAGCATCAGACAGAAAAGCATCACACACAAACAAATGACAAATAGAAAATCACACAATAATTTTTCCACTATCAAATTGTAGAATTGTAGCAGCCCTGTGATTTTTATTTAGTTGTTATCAGGCCTGAATTGCTTTATTTTAATATACACACCAGATGAAGTGGACGGCAGCCCTCGTTGGGATAATAGTGGAAAAACCTCCATAAGAGATGGACTGATCCTTTGCTCACTCAGGTGGAAGCTCCGGAGTTGTGTTTTTTGTTCTCACCTCTCTCCCGTTCCTCCCGTTTCTCCTCATCTACCGTTTCCTCCCCCCGTCGGCCCCCCGAGGTGTCGTAGTCGCCCCGCTCATCCCCGCTCCCTGCGGGGTCGCTGGTGTCGTGGACCTCTTCCCCCGAGCTGTCCCTACCGCTGCCCCGCGCGCCTGAGTCTTCATCCCCATCTGGTCCGTCTTCCATCTCACCCGGCGGGACAACAATGTCCTCCCGGTGGACCTCTCTCGGCCCATCTGCTCTCTCGTCCTCCCCGCGGTCCTTGGTGGCCTCTGCGTCGCTCTCTTCCCGGTCGCTCTCCGAGGAGCTGGAGCCCGAATTGGACTTCATGTCCTCTGTGCAAATAAAGACGAAAGTTTCTGTCCCGGGAGACACACGCACGATCAACCCTCTCAAGAGCTGTTTTGCCGTAAAATCGCTGGTCAAATGAATAAATAGTGTGCAATCAGTGTGGCACGTTACTCCCAGTGATTTCACCAACCATCTCTCTCCTCGTCTTCAGTCTCGGAGGCGTCTCCCTCGTCAGCTTGCGTTCCAGTTTCACCGGCTGGAGACGAAGGTTTATTTTCTTTCGCCTCGACGTCTCCCGGAGGTCCCTCGTCGTCTGCTTCAAAGTCTTCCTCATAATCTGCGGAGGAAGTGAATAACGGTATTGCGCGGCCTCATTGCCCGCGGTCGAGCTCTTTCTCGTACTCGCGTGTCAGAGACATCGTACCATCTCTGACTTTGTCCTCCCCGGCGTCCGTCCCCTCGCCCGCTCGAGTCTCGGCGGCCCGCGATCGGCGCTCTTCGCGCTCGGGATGCGCCGCGGCCTCGTCGCCCCCGGCCGTCTCCGTCTCCGTGCGGGGAGCATCCCCGAGGCTGGAGGCCGACTCCTCTCCGCCCTTGTTGTCTTCTTTGACCCTCCTTGGTGGAGGAGTGGGCTTCTTGTCCAACCCCATCGCAATGATGCACCTGAAGGAGACCGCGAGAACGTCCCGACAGCACAGTTCACCCGGAGGCCTTGAGTGGATTTGCCCTCTAAAGAGACAGCGGGTGGCCTTACTTGTAGCAGGGAGAAGCTCCCTCCACGCTGCGGAAACCAAAGTGTCCGTGCCGGCCGCCGAGTCTCGGGCCCTTCCTGTGTTTGAACTCGCAGCAGGAGCTCAGCCGCTCCACCTGCAGCCCGCTCAGGAAGAACGTCAAGCTGAAGGGGAAACCTCGGTGTCGCCTGGAAATGAACTGGAACGTCTCTGAGGGAGAGATGGATGATGTGGACGAGAGGGGGGGGAACATTTTCAGGGTCGAGATCATCATATCTGTGACCTTGGGTGTCGCGGAGCAAACCGTCAAACGGCCTCTTGAGTTAATTCAGGGACACCTTGATAGAGTCGCTTTGTTTGCTCAAAGGCAATTGTGCACAAAAGGACTTTCTCTTCCCTTCCCACACAAACGTCACAGACAGAATCCTCGCACTGACCTCCCTCGCTGAGCCGCCCCCTGAAAACACAGAGGTTCTCTCCTCCGCAGTGCTGCTGGAACACTTTGATCTCATCCCTCATGTCGCTCAGGTCGTGGGAGAGATGCACCGTTTTGCCAAAGTAAATCATGTCCACACGTACTTTGCTCTGGTGCACAGAGCTCCTCAGCACGGGGGGGTCCTGGATGGAAGGAAATAAAAGAAAACAGCGATCAGTGTGATGTTGATTTCAGTTTTAGGGTTGAAACTTTTTTTGAATGTCCTGTGTGACTGATCTCCACAGGTAGGTGTTATCTCGGCCTGGATGATTGTATTTAATCTCTATAATAATGAATAGAATATAAATGACTCTTAGAATATATCACCAAGATCTTCTCAAATTTCTTATTGTTTTTTTTTTGAGAGACGGAGACCTCTGTGAGGTCGGGCCCGCTGGACGCCGTGGTAGGACGCAGTCTGCGGCCTCTGAGCGCGCCGCTCGCGGTGACCTTTGCCCCCCTCTCCTTCCTCTTGGTGGCCGGAGGCACCGGGGTGACAAAGTTGTTGATGACCGGGAGGCAGTAGGGTGAGACGCCATGGGAGACCTCCGCCGTAGTCAGTCGTCTCCGGGACGCCTTGTCCATCTTTGAGAGAGGTGACACGAACGAACCGAATGAATGTGCCTGTTAAACCAGACACAGCGGGTGGGTTCTGATGTGTCGCGGCCTCACGGTGCGGTTGGGCGGCCGGTCGTTCTCGTTGGACGACCGCAGGAGTCGGCCCGGTGAGCCGCGTCGCAGCGACGCCGCCGTGCTGTTGCTGCGGATCGGCTTCAGGCGCACCGGCCTCTGCATCTTCCCCGGAGCCGTGTTGGGTCGAGACGAGCCCGGCTGCAGCAGCGTTAACACACACACACGCAGTCATTACAAACGCTGTGTATGCGTTGCTATGGAAACGTGATATGAGAACGCAAGCAGCCGAGCTGGCTCTTTGACCCCGAGTGTCCGTGTAAATATGGAATCAGCCTGCACAGATGACCAGTGTCATTACAAACATTCCACACAGGAAGCATTTGATTTGTACTTACAAATTACAATAACAAGATTAAGCGTATTGATTGAAGATGTTTTAAAGGTGCTGGAGGGCGGATTTTGTTACCTTTGGGCGAGCGCTAAGCTAACTAAACAGCTGTCTTTCTAATGAGGACAATACATATAGTGAAATTGTTTATTTATGATTGAATTGACACATTCACCTTAAATTGATGGGCCTACTAAAGGTCTTGAACTATAGGTCGAAGTTTCAGTGTCTCACAGACGATGGCGGGACTTTAAAAAGCTTCTTTGCAGACAGTTATGCTACAATTAAAGGCTGAATTTGAAAAGCACTTGATGTGGAATATGAGCCACTCGTCACAGCCTCAGAGACTTCAACCGGTCGTTATAAAACTCAGAACATCTGAGCATCTTCGGATGCTTTTGAGCGCCTGATTCTGACGCGCACTCGATCTACCGGAGCACCTGAGCACCAGGTTGTGACTCACGGACTCGGAGGATTCCGAGTGCTCGCCCTCTGGCCCGGAGTGTTGTTTCGGGGTGCACTTTGCGCCCGTGGGTGGCCGTGGAGACAGGATCCGAATGGCGTCTTCTTCATACCTTTTAGGGCGCTCCACCTTCCAAACAAGACCATTAGATCATGTAGCTAAACATCAAAATGATCCATTAAAAATGGCACAGTAAATAATGGTCAGCGCTAATAATCTTATTTGTTTGTTTCACATGAGTCAAGACTCATTAGTGTACAAAATAGGGCGACAAAGCACAGTTTAAATGTGAATGTCTACTTTGATCTTATGCACTCTTTCCCTCCTGGCGAACTCCTCCAGTTTCCTTTTGATCTCTATTTGATGGACACGCTGCGTGAAAGGGGCACAGAACCAATGACATAATTCGTTATTTCAAAGAGAAGCACAGATTAGCTGGCGGTGGTTTTACTCTTTTTTGTTTTTGGCCTCTGGTACGGAACGCTTCTCCCACCTCCATCTCCAGCACCTTGTGGAAGATGGCCTGGGCCAGGCATTCCCGGACGTGTCTCTGGTGGGCTCTCTGGATCAGCGTGTGTCGGTACTCCTTGTCAGGAACGATGCGCCCGCTCCTGGTGATCTGAGAACAACAAGCGGCCTCAGCAGGGTTCCGCCTACGCAGACGTTGACCTTTCAAACCGAGGTCACCGACAGCTGATTGATCAGGGATGCAAAATCAGTAAAAAAAAAAAAGAAAAGAGAAAAGGGCCAAAAAATGTATTTTTGTTTTTCTCTTCAGCTTATAGCTCTGAGGAACAATGTCACACAATGACGCAATTAATTAAAAACATTAAATCTAAAATCACAGGTTTGATGTATCTAGAAAAAGCAGAGGTGGGAACAAACCAAGCAGAATGCCTTTTGTGAGCTCATCCTTATGTTGAAATATCACTTTGTTGACTACTCATTTTTTATTCAGAGAAAACAATTTTTCCCAACTGTAATTGGTGCGACGATTAATTGGTTTGAGGCGCACCTTTAATTTCCATTAACAACTTTTTTGGGCCTTTATTCATTACATCAACAGAGTCATGATTTTAGCAATACTAAATAAGGTTGTACGTCCATATTTTACAAGCAACAGCAACCCCATTAATCTAACCGTTGTGGTGTTTTTGTACACTTCTTTCCCCTCAACGTCTTGAACCTGTTAACGTACCAGTCCTGCTCTCTGCAGGTGTCTCCTGATGCGAGTGTTGCTGAAGTATCCGGCCAGATGTCTGTCTGTGAGACTGTTGTAGGCAGAAATAAGTCTGCAGAAACAGGAAAAAAACAACAACAACAAAAAGAGATATTCAATTAATCAGCCAAAGAAACTTAATCAAAAAAGGCTAAACTTAATGGCGCTTAATAGCGTAACTCGAGAGGTCTTGATTACAGTTAAAAGACACAACACAATCTCAATAAATTGTTCCAGCGGGGAACAACACCATGTTGGTTGGTTTGTTGTTTCTCTCGTCCTGGTTAATGAGACACCAGGTCGTCGGCAGCTCGCCTGGAAGTGTTTTTTCAACATATTTCATTTCATTTCCTCCTGCACTTGTGCACGAGACAACAGGATCTCACCCCTCTGGGGTCAGTTTGCGGTGTTTGCTTACAGCCGTTATGCCTCTGTTGTGCTCCCGGAATACACTTTCATGCATCACAGATCTGATGCAATGCTGAAAACTTTCCTTTTATTAATTCAAACTACTATAATTTGGTTAGAGGGCACTGTGACCTTTATTCTTGTATATTTCAGTCATTTTTTTCGTGAGATTGTATCAACTATTTTCTTGACATGGCTCTTTAAACCCGTTTTTAAATTGCACTTAAATGTCCTTTTATAACGTGTGTCTCCCGCTATTTGTCTCTGTGCTTCTGATGTTTTATGATGCTGAAATGTGCTTTAAAAGTAATCGCCCCTCGCCTGATTCGTTCTTTCTGGGTTTTCAAAAAAAAACACAACGGATGAAAATAACAATAAAACAGTAAAAAGAAGTCTGACGTGTTTGAGTCTTTTTGTGACGTAAAGTAGCATTAGCAGAATTAGCAGATGAGTCGACTTTGCCTGTAAACACATTCCTCGACATTAGTGCGGTGACAGACGTTACGTCGGTGTTAATTGTGTAGAGAGGAACCGAGCGGACGTTATAAAGTGTGTTAGAGATTAAACGGAACCTACCCGGTGTTCAGGTGACTCATGGCTCTCGGCGATGGGGGGGAAAAGGACGAACAATATCGGTCAAAGTGAAAACGAGTGAGTGGACGTCGGTTGGTCGTCGGCTGCACTTCTCCCGGAGCGGAACTGATGACACGCGCCGGTTGCCATGGAGATCACGTGACGACGCCTCCGCCGGGGCCGGTTTCCTCTTACCGGGTCCCTCCGCCGCGTGGACCGGGACGACACCGGACGGCCCAGGGAAACACGCACTCTCACGAGTACACGTTTTTTTTTTAGAAAATACTGTTATTGTTATTTAATGATCTTGTGATAAGTAGCCGAGCAAGTCAACTTCTTCTAGATTCCCCGATGTAATAAAATGCTCTAAAGCTTTAATCGGTGGTGGAAGAAGTACTCAGATCATTTACATTTGGTAAGAAAAGTAACATTAAAGGTAAATATACTTTCAAGTTAAAGTCGTTTAGTCTTTAGGATTTAGTCAAAATCCTTCATAGGCAGGAGTACTCTTAGAGAGTAGAGATGTGTGAATATATATATATATACACACACACACACACACACACACAGACACACACACACACACACACACACACAGTGGAAAACTATGCAGGTCCTCTGTGGCCCTCTGGTGGACATGTGGATAATTACTTCTAACAGAAACCATAAATATTTCATATTTTGGAGAACGCAGGAGCATCTTCCTGTCGTCATAATGACTGTTTTATCTGACAACAGGTTTGGTTCTTATATATTACTGAAACAAAAGTATGGTGGCTTTGCTTCCATCTCTCCATCTCTTAGTCTGTCACTGCCTTCATTTTTGAGTTTGAGAAATCACATCACACAGTAAAACGATGTCTATGCATTTATGGGGGAAACTGCTCATTTCCATAATCATTTGAGGTGTTGTGTTCTTGAGTCTCAGCATGTGTCAACGATTGTGAGTGAGGGTCCCCGATGAGGGATGAGCGTATTAGGGAAGAGCTTTGGTCCTTTGGTAGAAATCATGTGTAAAATATGCTTCAGAATATAGAAGCATATGTATATAGAGAGAGAGAGATCTCTCTCGCTCTCTCTCTCTCTCTCTCTCTCTCTCTCTCTCTCTCTCTCTATATATATATATATATATATATATATATATATATATATATATATATAGAATCAGATGTATAATAGAATCAACTTTAATCTGCCACAGGCAACTCCCAAGAAAAGAGGCTGTCTGCTACAGGTTGACTCATTTATGTACTATTTAGTTATTCATAAGTATTGGTGCTAAATGGCTGTGTGTAGTACACAACCATGCTTTGAATCACTTGTTTTTATGTGCATTTTATACACATGTACAAATTCTCTTCGCTTTTTTCAAGTCATTTGCATCTGAGACTCAAGTCTGAGGTTTTTTCAATAGATACAGACAAGAAGCAGATTATCATCATTATTATAATTATGTTGTTGTGTCTGTGTGAAGGGACACACACCTGGATGGTTCATATGTTTCTGAGCTTTATTGGAGAACTGATTCTGATTGAAATACATCAAGCAATGCAATGTACAGCAATACGGAGGACGCTGTGCTATTAACCATCTTCACCATCGTCATACTAAAGAACGTTTTAAACCTGCTTAAAGGTTTCCTCAGAATATCCTGACAACACAAACAAATACGAGGAACAGATACAATCAATGAACAGCCATTTTATTAAATTAGCCCAATGTAAATTATCATAACTAACATTCCCCCAATGTCTTTATTCTCGTTCTTTCTGTCTGAGCTTCGTGGAGGTCGGTGCTCATTTGCAGTCAGCAGCATCGTCACAATCCCTTTTCCTCTTGCACACACAAGGACACCTGTAGACCTTTGAGACAAGCAGACAGCACGAGCCAGAAGAAAAGAGAAGCAGAGATTAGGATGCGAAGCCAGAGGAAAAGTAAATATTTCACTGTTAAAATGAGTATATATCTGTTTAAAGACAAGGGCGAATCCATGTGTTGACCATGTTGTCTGTGCAGCCGTGAAGGTTTTAGTTTGATTTCATCTGTGGAGAGAAAAGGCAGAGTTCGAATCCTTTATTCATACAATATTTAAAGGTCTGAGCTACATAATCTACCAAAATACATTTATTCTCATGAAAGAAAATAGGAGTAAGAAATACACACACTTAGAATAAGTAAGTGCACTTTCCTCATGAGAAAAAATACCCATTTGACTGTTAAGTGCTACTGTTAGTGGTATTCTGGAGGAAAACAAAGAGGGTTGAGTAGGTTGATGTATTAGTCTCTAAGAAGAACCCCACACATGTGTGTTTGTTTAAACCACAGAAATCTAAGATGCTATAAACAAAAAGGACCTAAAGGTTTTGGTCCAGGCGGCGTGGAACATGCGTAACCTTCCCATGTACAGATGTGCACGGCGGCAGGTGTCTCTCCCACTGAGCAGTGGACACCAACTGAGGACAAACCACCAGATGGACATTCACTACCTGTCGGGCAGGTGGAACTGAGAAGCAGCAATAAAACACAGCAATCAAGGGAGACACTAAATTCCTAATACACACAAGTCTTGAAATAACAATTAGCGTAGAAATGGAGGAGGGGTGATTATGAATTCCATTCAGGGAAGGGGTCTCGGCGGTAACCCGGGAGGTGGCGTGCAGGGAGATGTCGGGGAGTCATGCGGCTCTGAAATGGGTGGGAAAGAAGGTGGGTGGAGGGGGGGGGGGGGGGGGCAGCAGTTTTTGCAATCAGCGTTAAATAGAGCAGTTTTGTGGCTGTGTGATTGTCAAGTGGGCCATTACTCGCTGATAAGAGCACTTTTTCCTCCCGCCGCCCTGATTGGGCCGAGCGCGCTGCTCCCCTCTCGCGCGCCGTCCCGCTGCAATCAGGCCCCTCTTTCACCGCACTGCCATTTCCACCGCTGTGATTTTCCAACCCCAATCCCCCCGCCGGCCCCCAGCCGACGCAGCCCCCCCCCAATCCCTCCCCATCCCTCCTCCAGCACCCCGACCCCCCCCACCCCCCCCTTGCAGATTCGATGAGTGCCCATTTACAGCAAGGAGAAAAGGTCATGCCAAACTGGTTGTGTCAATTGTAAACCACCCCGATTCGGACTGATTTCAATGAAATAAATGAGGAGGTGCGGCCCCCCGCGGGGAGAAGAAGGGCCGCGTGGAAGCAGCAGATTAGACTCGCTGGGGCCCGACGCCTCTCGCCCACATTCCTTGTTCTGTCTGCATTTTTAGCAAACGGAGCATCTTTTTACTCGAACTTTTACGAACAACGTCTCACTTTAAGTATATGAAAACGATTAACTGGGACAATTTAGCATCCGGTAAGAAGGGAAATTAGCTGATCAATGAACCCTGAAAGTTATCACTTGTCTGAAGAAATAGATATCTAGCGCTATTATATATTTGTGAGAGTGTTTCTCTTTATCAGGGAATCGGGTATTTGTTAAACGCCTTCTTGCTCTTTGTCTCTAGTCCTCATGGTACCTTGTCAACACTTGTATTTCATAGATTTTACTTTCTCTTTGTTTGGGGCCTCACAGGCTCCATGCTGACAAATAACCACTTGGGGTCAATTATAATCCAGAGAACAGTTTTTTTCTTTATACCATAATTTGAATGTTTATGTCATTCTCATAAAATTAGGAAACGGCAAAATTAAAAACTGTTTTGGATGCGTTAAAGTAATTCCACAACCCCAAAATGAACCTCAGAAGTATTTTCCTTAATAATATCATGTACCGCTCGGGCAGCTTGCCACAATGTCACGCTGTGCGTTTATAAAAGCATAATTCACCAAGTAACTCAATGAAAGTTTAGCCAATCGCAATCACTGAGCTGCTTTCCGACGGAGTATTTAAACACCGCACTGTGAGCAGCAGAGCAGCTGTTGATGGACGGGACCTTGTTTTTGTCCGCTCCATATCACGCAAAACATTTAAGAAGTGAGCCATGCAACTGTTACACACTCAGATGTGCATCTTTCCCAACATCTGGGGTTGCGCAAGGCCGCCCACAGACGGTGCAATCGGAGCGAGGAAGACTTTAATGTCCGAGGGAGAATCACTCCGGGGAGCATCGGGCTGCACGGTGAGGCCTTGCATCTCGCCTCTAACCTTTGACCTCTCCGAACAGAAGGGCGTTCCGCAGGACCTCTTCATACCTCTGAGGTGATCAAAAGAGCTCTGCAGCGATGAGGAGGGGAGGAGCGGTTTGCGATACGTTATCTGATGAAGAGCATTCATCTCCAGCGGGTGGAACGGGACACATCTCGATGCACGCTAACTCCTTTATCCCCCCCTGAGATGGTGCGATAAGGACGCAGACTCGTGCCGGTGCAGGTCGGACTGTTATCCCGCCACAGGAGAGAAAATGGATTCAGTGAGTCTGTGAAAAGAGAAAGCAACTGTGTTTTCTTCCGAGCGCCCCGGAGTCCTGTACTCACTAATTGCTGCGAGGTTCCTGCAAAACTCTTAAGGAGAATACTGGCGGGCAGCTTCCTCCGTCACCGCCTGGACGGAGAGTAACGGTTAATGAGATTTTCATACAGACGGCGAGCATGTGGGCGGCCTGATTTTCATTTTTGGGATCATGTTGCATATTTTTTTTCTTCCGATCCTTAAACCCAATATGTGGAAATCCCCCACATATAATGCATGATTCTGTAACACAAAGTATGACGATTTATTTTCTATATTATACTTCCAGAACAGGTTTAACCCGGCCGTGTACGTAAATGAAATACACATCATGTTGGTGAAGCCCGGAAGTGCTTAGTCAGTGAGAGCAAACAGATCACATGCTGCTCAAAGACACATCGTCATGTTCATGGATTAATCATACGTGTATGCAAATTACCACGATTCAAATATGTAAGCCCACTTTCTGACAAGCAGCACCGTAGTTCAATGAATATCAAAATCCATTCAAAAATACATGTATTATCCAATGTTACTGAGCAGGTTCTAACTTGTGTGAGTACTTTTTAAAATGACAAATGTATACAGTAAATAAGAATGTGTATATAGCCGACAGTCAAAATACTCAAAATGAGTGCCATGTAAATGGGCTTTCACCATTGTTATGCAACCCCCCCCCCCACAAAAAGAGTCACATAAGGCCACACAATAAGTTTGTTTCCCAAAGGGAGGCGCGGCCACAGAGGCCCGGATCACAGGAGTTGTGATCCGCCCTCTGGGAGCAGCTCACACACGGAGGAATCCTGCAGGAGAAATAAAGAATAACAGAAGCACTTGTTCTGCCTCCTCCGCGCTCTCCGGGACGCAGACATGCGCTGGAAGAGTGAAGTGAAAGTCGAGCGCTGCGCCGTCGACGCGGTGCAACACGGATCCCCGTTGTCCAACGACGAGGTGAGTCCTCCAAACGAAAGGCGGAAGTTATTTCTTTTTTATAGATTTTTTTATTTATTGTTATTTTATTTCTCACCAGCAGGTCGAGGTGCGAATCAGTGGGCGCGGGGAACAAGTCGGGGATTTAATTAAAATAAATAAATAAATAATCGAAATTGCTTTGCCAATTAAATGAAAGTGGGCCCCCGCCTGGTCACCGAGGCCGGCCCGCCACAGGCCGACAGCTCGGTATTTTCACAATTTCAAGAAATGTCGAAGAAAATTACTCCTCCCCCGAGTTCTGCAATTAAAAACTCAAGTAGTTAATGAGACCTCTTCACCTTTTGGTTGCCCCCGGTCGACGGTTGTGGCAAACTTAGGGCTTTTAATTGCTGTTATTAAAAAAATCAATCCCCCCCCCCTCCTTTCCTCCCCTAATCCCCCTCCCAGAGGCTGTTTTTGTTTCTGTTTGCCAGGTGAAATGGGGGACCCGGAGGGGGGGGGGGGGGTGTTTAACCACAGCACGCGCGCAATGCAAGCGAGCAGTTGCCGCGGGTCTGAAGGACATAATGCGCGCGGGATAAGTATTAGCTCGAGAACGGTCTGTTTATGCACGTAATGGCTATCCTCCTCCTCTAAATGTCATCGCGGTTAATCGCCGGCGTTGTCATGGTGAACGGTGAAAGGCACGATATTCACGGGGAGGCGCGGGGGGGCATTTAAGGCAGCTGCAGCCGCGCGACAGCCGCGCGTCGTCCTCTTTTTTTTTTTCCCCCCCCGCGCGCGCGCGCAGCTTCCCGTCATGTGCGAGGATTGCGAAGGAGACGCGGAGCTGCTGGGCAGATGCACGGAGGACAGGAGAGACATTATGGTAGGGTCAACGTGTCCGACCGGCTCCGGGAACCGGGCGACCACTGTTGTTGATCCGGGGGCCACTGTTGTTGTTTTTGTTGTTTACATATTCTTGACTCGGGACAATAACATGAGGGAACTTTGGGGGAAATGTGGAGATAGTTCTGCTCTATGGGCCTAAACTTCAAATTAGAATCAAAGTAGGCAGGGAGCGAAAAGAAACTCTTTGATTTATTTTTATTTGTTTATATTATATTTTGCTCATATTACCCTGCAAACTGACGTCACGGTTTAATACGTTTAATACGGTTTAAGACAGTTACACATTTTAAACAAATGTTTAGCAGCTAAAAACTAGAATCTGAGTATATATATATATTATTATTTTTTCTTTCTTTTTACTGTCCGACATGAAGTTGGTGAGCTGGGTTCCACCCCTGTGCGCGCGTTTCGTGCATCTGGATGCGCTCCCGCGCGTCACTTTCTAACCGCTCGTTCGCTCCCGTCAGGGCGCACCGCTGGAAGTTTTGGATGAGGACGCGTCGTCGCTGCAGCAGATGGCCTCTGCACCCCTGTTAGGCGGAGCTGTGTGCGCGAGCTGCAACGAGGACATTGTGGATAAATATTTATTAAAGGTAAACATTTTTTTTTTTGTTGCGAAGACTTTTCTTTAAATTTGCGATTATGCCCTTTTTTCTCTTTTCTTTCCCCTCCCTTGGGTGCGTTGGGTTTTTTTTGTGGGTTTTACGCGCTGGGGACCTCCACCCTGATTGACTTCTTCCAATTTCCGTGTGTCCCATCTGCGATGTAGGTTAACGACTTGTGCTGGCATGCGCGCTGTCTCTCCTGCAGCGTGTGCCAAACTTCACTTGGCAGCCACACGAGCTGTTACATCAAAGAGAAAGAAGTTTTCTGTAAACTGGATTACTTCAGGTACGAAGTTAATTAGTCTACATTATATTGCATATTGAAGGAAATTTTAGAAATATAGTGGCAAGACTTGACGTTTCACGTTGCTTTAGCTTGCTATTTTATTTTTTTATTTCCAAACCAAATTTGTCTGTGCGAAATGTTAAATGTGACTTTTATAAAAACGAGACGATACTGCATTCCTTTTAATTAAAACTCTTTAAAGAAATGGATTTAACCTGTTGCTTAACAGTCAGCTGACTAAAACATGAACTGAAAGCACACTTCGGGACTGAAGCCCGTGAACGTCCTCGCGGCGGCTCGTGCGTGCGGGTGTCTAATCTGCGTGTCCTTCCCCTGCAGAAGATACGGCACGTGGTGCGCGTGCTGCGGCCGGAACATCCACTCCACGGACTGGGTCCGCCGCGCGAAGGGCAACGTGTACCACCTGGCCTGCTTCGCCTGCTTCTCCTGCAAGAGGCAGCTGTCCACCGGGGAGGAGTTCGCGCTGGTGGAGGAGAAGGTGCTCTGCAGGGTCCACTACGACTGCATGCTGGACAACCTGAAGCGGGCCGTGGAGAAGGGTGAGCCGCCGGAACGCTCGCTCCCGGCTCTGGTGTTTTTTTTGTGTGGGTTTGTGTGGTTGGGCCGGAGGAAGGACTTCAATGAATTGCTGTGCTTTCCTCCAGATCGAGTTTATTTAAACTAAAGGAAAACACAAAATATGTAAGGTCAAAATTAAATTAATTTAAAGGCCTGCTCCGAATATACGGCATAGGCCATATATTGTGTCCTGAGATTTAAAAATATATATATTAAAGGGTCATTTTTATTGGCTTGCTATTTATATATTTTTTAATTTAAAAGGTTTAAAACACTGTATTTCACATAAATACAGATATATTAATAATGTGCAGAGTGTTTAAAGACAATTTAATCTTAATCTGAATATCCGTCCTTGTTGCAGGAACCAATGTTAACATGGAGGGGGCTGTGCCCACTGAACAGGAGATTAATCAGCCCAAACCGTCCAAGAGAGCACGGACCAGCTTCACTGCCGACCAGCTGCAGGTGAACCTCCATCCTCCGTTAAAACATACTATCATTTTGCTTTCAATAATGGCCTAGATAACTGAGCCCAAAGAAATTAGGCCCATTGTGTTGTGTTATTGTATTATAATTATAAACTGAGATCAAACATACGGTGAAGCTATAATCAAATTAAATACATATTTATAAATGTCACATTTATTTTAATAGAACACACCTGATGCTGGCAGAATGGCACATATACAAGAAGACCATTTTTCCTTGTTAAATAATTATAATTGTGTCGCATTGTTTAGGTCACTAAGATCCAATTCCAAAAGGACCCAATTTTTGTTTCATTTTTTCGTTCACATTTTTGTGTGATACAAATCCGGGTCAAATCTCCACACAGCATCAAATGAATTTTTTCTTTTGATCTCTGACCTCGCAGGTGATGCAGGGCCAGTTTGCTCAGGACAACAACCCAGACGCCCAAACTCTGCAGAAGCTGGCGGAGCAGACGGGCCTCAGTCGAAGAGTCATCCAGGTCAGTAACAGAAAGGGATTATGGGATTTATAGTATGATCCTAATTAGAGGAAGGCAAGAAAAACTAATCCCAACCAGCTGGTTAAACATGTACCAAGCAAAAAGAAAAATGAAACCATTTCATATATATATTTATTTTAAATAACACCTGTTTGTTTAAATGTTCCTATGAGTTGTTTGCTACGTGAGTTTTGTACATAATCCACGTTGCAATATTGGTTCATTGTTGTATTATTCATACATCATGTACAGTATTATTGATTTGATATTTCGTAAGCTGCTTGAAGTTCAGCTAGTTTTAAATGAATTATGCTGGACAGTTTTCTTCCACCACAGTGCACTTTATTCCATAAGATGATCATGTCTTTAAAATTTAAATCGCGATAGAGTAACTTAATGGAGGACAGAGCCTCTTACATTTCCCCCTTAATTCCCATCAAGGCATTAAAATACCTCAGTCTGGTAAACCTCAAGATAACAGATTTTTGAAACAGAGATTGTTCAAGCACAACATGGGGGTGTTTTAATTCATCCAATGGCACCTTTCAAAGCCATTCATTGATTTAATGAGCCGTGGTTCCCGTCGTGGCTTCTTGATATCGGACGTATGCCCCCTCGTCCCGTTCAGGTCTGGTTCCAAAACTGCAGAGCTCGCCACAAGAAGCACGTGAGCCCCAACCACACCTCCAGCACCCCCATGAGCTCCCTGCAGCCCAGCCGGCTCCCTCAGCCCACCCTGACCCCCGAGGAGCTGCAGTACACCGCGTACGGAGGCCCGGAGGGATCAATGCTCTCCGCGCTACACTCCTTCATAGACAGTGAGCACCAGACTTTTCATGATCTTAAGTCCGTTTACTGCGCTTATAAAAACTATGTGTCACATTCCTATTTTAACATTTGAGATTTTCTATCACTGCGGCTTATTTGAATGGAACTGTGTTTCGAGTGTTATGATCAAGGTGGCTTGTTATCGCTTTCCTTATGCTGATGATTTGAGGTTATTTAAATAACATTTTAACAAGCTATTCAAAAGAAAAGATTTTTTCTTAAATATAAAGTCACAGCCACAGGTTATTGTTAAAATATTTCTTGTTTAAACAGTGGGCTATATCATCATTAAGGTGTACATTAAGTTTAAGAATGACACACTGACACTACATTGGATTTAATTTCAATCATATAAGCAACGTGTACAACATCATTAAAAAAAAGAAAGAAAAAGGTTTCTCTCCTAATCAGGTCATTGTAATTATATGAGAGCGAAACCTTCCACCAATCCCGCTCATTAGGGCACAAACTCAACAGTAGCAGGCAACCAGTAGTAGCCAATCAGAGGCAGAGGAGGGCGGGTCTTGGCGGAATGCTGCTGGTGGAAAGAAATAATCAGAATCAAATGATGCCGACGGTGGCGTGTTGCCGCCGCCCACAACGACCGTCCTAGGAGAGTCTGTGAGGTCACAGGTCACAGAGCTCTCAAAGTACTCCCCCCCCCCAGCAAACCTGCATTGCTGATTCTACAAATATATAATCATTTAAAAATATCACTTAATAATTAGCATTCACAAAGTAGTCATTACAACTTCTGTGTGTATGGCACTAGAAAAATGGGACTTTTTTAAACGTGAATTCATGTCTAAATCAAAATCTGTATTTATTTCTTCTATATGTTAATATATTTGATGGAAACTGTAATGACTCCAGTGCTCTCTGTGCTTGCCTGCAGTCCACTCCTCTCCATCCATGTTTCAACCGCTGCTGCCGGCCCACGCCATGACCTCGCTGCCTGTGTCACACGCCTGAGCTGCTCTCTCTCACACGCACACATACACACATGCACAACCACACACGCAGCTCTCTCTCACACGCACACATGCACAACCACACACACGCAGCAGCCTCCGTCGTCCACCAGCGTTCGGCCCTCATTCGCGGCCGCGGTAGTCAGAGCTTTGTGGTAAATATGAATTCATTTTGAAAAGAACCATAAAACGTTTCATTTTCCTGAGATGACAGTAAATCATTACACGTCGACATCATTTAAAACTCAACTGAGCGTTGAGCCTTCTATGGATGACTATAATTTGTACTGTATAATGTGGAAATGGAAAAGTTTCAGTGTGCATCATTGGATTGTGACACATGACGTCATAGATTTCTATTTGTTTGTGTAGTTGGTGACAGTTTGACCCGGCTGCTCCAAAGTGACCCAAAATGTCAAATCATGAAGGTGAACATGAAATTGTTTATATGGCTGTGTTCTGATATTGCAATTTAATTTATTTAATGTATGTGAAGTCCGTTTCGAAAATAAATGTAATTTCACAAACCCGCTGTGAGTGAACAGTGACAGGCGACTTGTTGCAGCGCTCAGAGCCGACTGCAAGTTTGCATCGTACAAAAACCCCATTCAAAACATCTTTTACTTAAAGGAAACACACAGTTAAAAACACATGCAACCTTTAATAAATAAATATATACATGGCGGTGGCATTTATAGCGTCAGCTTTCTGACCAAATGAGCAAACATGAGTGAAGCACTTAATAGCAACTGCATCTCTAGTTTGACACTTAAGAGTCAGCGGTAAGAAAGCTGGCGCACGTTCCAGCGAGGAGCGACGACTTGCTTGTGTCTACTTGTTGACTGCGGTGGGCCAAAAGAATCTAATTTCCAGACATGCGAGGGAGGGGGAAGGAATATAAAAAAAAAAAAAAAAACACTTATCAGATCTCCAGGGTTCTCCTTCATGGGAAGGAAACTCAAAGCTGAGCGACGTGAACAACGAAGAACACAACGACTACAATTCAACTGGTGTCGTTGTTCAGTAGAAGAAACAACAATAATGTGCAGGTTTGATGCCACCCGGAGCACTGCATGCATCATCCGTCTCCTTTCTGATACACAAGAGTTTGTTTTGCTTTTGCTGAAAGGTCACGTCGTACGTGTCCCAGCGTGTTCGTCTCTAACGGCGGCAGAAGGTGTGTGTGTGTGTGTGCGCGTCCTGGCAGTACTGTCACTCTGCGGCATCATGAGGGCAGGTTCTCCGGTTCGACAAACACGCCACAAAGACTCGCACGCCTGAGTCACATCTCAAAGATCTAAAGGACGTGAATGAGGACGTCATTTCAGGTGATGTATGGTCTGTTTAGGAAAAAGACAAAAACATCAGAAGTGTGATGCCCGTGAAACACGAGGACAGCTGTGCCACTACTTTATTACATCGGTCCTTTTCACCAACAACCCGCCTGTCTGACGCCAGAAATGCGCATTACAAATGTTGGAAAGCAACAAATTAAAAATGATGAAGTGAATAAAAGGAAAAACGCATTTAAAGGGGAGTTCAGTGTTCAGTGTGTCTGAGACACGGATATCTTTGTTTAAATGGCTAAATGCCAGATGTTGTTTTCAATAATCAGAGGCAAGAGGCCTCACATTAAGTTGTCTTAATTAATAAAAATATTTTAAGTGCTATGAAAAGGTTCTAGTATTAAAGTGCATTGAAATTGACATCAGATGAGCCCAGCTCCTATCGCCTGTAAAGGAAACATCTCTTTACAGCCACCTTTAAAAAAAAAAAAAGGTGAGTCATCAATTTTGAAAAGATACATCTACGGGGAGAGTTAAGATCATTCCGTGTCACGGTACGCACGAGCAACACGCCAAGGCTCCGGGACATTCCTTCTACTTCACCATCCACTCCTAGTCCTAACATCTGGAAGAGCCGTCACAGGCTGCTGAGTGTCGCCTTAACAAGTTCTATAAAAAGGCCATAAATTAAAAACGATCTTCAAATGCAAATCATGCAGCTGCAGGATGCAATTACACACTCAATGAGGAATTTCTTTGAAAAAGGCACTTAAAAATTGAAGCACTTTGAACTGCTGTGCCATTACGTCCTTGTGGTTATAAAGACGGTGGACGCAAACACGTTTCTCAATGTGAGACAATATAAGGTCAAAAACGGCAATATTTTACCATTTCACGGGAGAACTAGTTGGATGGGCTTTGGCATTCACACCTCAACAGCAGCTTCTGCTAATGACCGGCCCCACAAGAGATTAAATGTAAAAAATAAAAAATAAAACACATAACAGCTGGCATTTACCACAATCTCAATAAAGAAAGAAATCACAGATTCCAATAGGAAATTAGTGTGAAGTATGACTGTGGCTACACATATTAATATATATATGTATTAGAACTAGAACATTAAAAAAATACATATTTACAAGAACTTGTGCGATAAAAATCCAATAAAAAATGTTTGGGATACAAACTGCGTTTCTAAAATATCAAGGCCATTACTCATTTGAATGTGGATGAAATAATCCGTGGAGTTAGATTATCCATAACAGCGTAGTGTTTGGTTTGCTCGCCCCGTGCTTTGGTAAATGCCTTTTCTCTATCGCCGGCCGGCCGTCCCATCGTTTCTCTTGCAGAGGAGACGCTGCAAGGTTTTGTTCATGTAGAAGGGCCGCTGCGGAGAGCCGTCGTTCGCCTCCAGGTCCCACACTAGGAGGCAGCAGTAGCAACGGGTTTACATCGCAGATGGGAAATACACTGGACAATACTTTAAACATTCATGTTTATTCCAAAAACATTATTCACATTTCAATTGGATTTCATTGATTAAAAAAAATGCCCCTGTACAAAAAGAACACTGAATAACCTCCAGATAGATGCGTGTAGTATACTTAGTATTAAAACAGCAATACATCCAAACCATCCAATAAAAAAATTACCAAAAATGGCTTTGACATCCTTATATAAACGGTATCGCAAAAGGTTCCTGGTGTTAGAGCTAAAACCACGGATTAAGAGGGAAACTTTTTTTTTCACAACTAGGCACATAAACTAGTGGCTGCATTCACAAGTGTCCTGAAGACGGTCAGGTTCTGTTCAAATTCCAAGCAAAGAAACAGAATGTCTTTTTAAGTCTTAACCTCCAGCAAAGTCTGGTTTACAGTACGAGCATGATGGAAACCTTTTTCTCGATCATGTGAAGTGACAGAAACCTGTTTTTGCCGAGTGCAGAATGACACCTTATTTATGGATCTGTGTGTTTGTGTTCGTATAAATACGGTGAATGAAAGCAACCGATAAAACCAACGGCAAACATCAACAGCCAGCAAAATAAACATGCTCGACAGAGGAGATAAATCACATGGGTCCTTCCCCATATGTGAAAGTGCATACAAAACATGATTTTACACTAGAAGACCAAAGTGCGACAAGAGGGTGTTTCCATAACTGCACCTCTTCTTCACGGCGAAGCGCCCTAGTCCGTCAGTGGCGTCTGTACATGTTACGGTCCTTACGTTTGTCTATGCAAAGATGCTCCTATCATATTCAGCCTGTGCGTCCGTCCTGCGAGTTGACATTTACCCTCCCGGTAAGGCAGAGGTCAGCAGAGGATACAGAGAAGGGAAAGAAAACAAGCGCGGCAGAAAAAAAAGGCAAGTATCTGAGTCGGCCCAGGAGAGGAAGTAAGCTGGTCTTTTTAGTCCCTCCCCCCCTCCTCCCCCTGCGCTTTTTCTGGGAGGACCTGAAGTAAAAGCATGTCCTTTTATGTCCAGACCATCCCCGGCCAGGCTGGGATGCATCCAGCGTTTGATGCTTAGCCCTACGGTACTCGCTCCAAGACTTCGCGACCATCGCACTTACAGCTGATATGGAGAAGCGGGTCAAAAGTTTTAAAAATGGCCGCACTTCGCTCAGGAGGCAGCGCACAATTTGGCCCCCTCGTCTCCTTTGCGCAGGATCTTGTGCAGGCCGGGGGACATGTAGTAAGGCCTGGAGGGAGAACCATCGTTCCTCTCCAGGTCTTCACCTGAGACCCGGTGCCAGCACAGCAGAGGACAGGACGAGCGGGAATAGCAGACAAAGTGGTAAGAAAGAGAAAGCAAAGCCAAGACTTAGAGATAAATATTCAAAAGGGCCATCCAGCAATTAGAGGGCTGAGTGAGCAGGAATTGTTGGTTGTTATTCGAGGTCAGTTTCACCTTCAAGCTGCTTGTAGCAGCAGTGCTCACTACAAGCAGCCAGGTTTTCACATTGTGTCGTGCAAATTGATGAGAGAAATAAAACACCCGGAGCATACTCACAAAAGCACAGGAACAGCGTGTCCACGCACATGGCGTACACGTTAAGAAAGCCATGTGCAATCACGTAGGATCCAAATATCACCGTCTGCAAGAGGCCAAAGGACAGAGTCAGGATGCTATTCTGTCAACGTTGATCACAACAAAACGATCAAGATAGTGTGATAACAGACATGGATCTGCAATGACGTGCTGCCTCGTGGAGCAAAGCAATCTGACACCCGTAATAGTGTCAAATGCAATTTAGCTCTCCTCCCTGACCCTTAATTTAGCTCTCCTCCCTGACCCTTAATTTAGCTGTGCTTCCTGACCCTTTAACGTGGGGACACGTGTGATGTAACACATGCCGGCGGATGACGGAATCAATCAGATCCCACTGGGGCTACCAATAGGAAATGAGCAGAGTCAGCGAGACTCCGAGAGGCTTCATTCTGAATGTTTAAAAAGGCTTCAAAAAATGTTAAACTATTTAATACACACATTGAGATGTTGTATACATTTGCTAAACTAATGCTCCAGCACGCTCTCAACCTGTTTTTATCTAAAAACGTAATGGCTGAGCCAGAGAAATACCATAAACTACCGAAGAAACTTGATTCAGTCTCAGTGGTTATTGCTGCTACAATTCTGCTACAATCCCTTACCAGTAGGGGCACCCAGGTGTAATTTAGGGATGGCACCCCCTCTTGAAGGATGGGTATTCTATGTGTGAAGACGAAAAATGCAATAACACCTAGAAAACACAAAGAAGAAAAAAACTTACTTACTTAGTTACTTTATAAACCTTTTAAATAAAAATACATAAAGGATTCAAGGACAAATCCACCAAGATGTTTTTGTCAATCATCAAAAATGTTCTAAGAATTGTGGAAAAAGGGGGAAAAATTAGTTATAAGCACCCATACTTTTACTGCTATATTTAGATCTATACATCTTACACCTAAGGACAAATAGCCAATAGGTTCTGTACATGGATTTTTGGGGGTAACTACTAGGATTAATTCAATCTCCTGTAATCAAAAGATATGTAATCATTTCGCAGACCAGCAGACAACCTTGGAAATGAAGTAAGGGCACAGCAGAAAAATCCTCCCCCTAATATTGTGGTCATAGTCGGTCACTTCCCAGACAGCAGGTGACATGAAACTCACCGACACTTCCTGTAATGAGCAGTTTCCCCAAGAAGAGCAGAAAGTCGGTCACCCTGTCCAGCACATACACCCTACAGAGGAGGCAGAGTGCAGGAGAAAACAATGTCACACGCTGAGACACAAAAAAATGTACCCGCATTGAGTCGGATTGGAAATCTACATCTGCTCAGTTAATTGTGTGTGTCTCAGCCGCAGGTGATCTGTACTCGGACCTTTCTTTGGACGCTTACCGAAGAACGTTCCTCAGCAGGAGGTGGAAAGCATCCTTGGAAGAGGTGCAGAAGCTCTTCCCATATATTGCTATCTGTTGGGGAAGTGAAGCATTGAGGAACAAGCCAAAGCCAAATAAACAAATGAGTCCACAGCAGCAGCTTTCTGAACTCACCATTATGTATGCGTTTGTGTTTACAAACTTGATGAAACGTTCCAGGCACCAGAAGCAGCATTTGAGGCAGGAGAGCACAAATCGAGCACACCCGTTTTGGGAATCTGGGGGACACGTCATCAAACCATCAACATCACGTTTAAATTATCCAGCAAACCGTGTGAGATTCGCGTTCGCAGAGTCGCCGCCGTACCTTTCAGTTTGCGATCGAGGTACTCTAGAACAATTCGGATCACTTGCACCACAGAGAGGATCAGAGAGCCGAAGGCCAGAGAACCCGTGTGGTAGCTGTGAGGCGAGAAAACAAGTCGTAGAACAGACATTCGACTTCATTCTGAGCCGGTTCGGTTTCTTACCGTAAGGCTCGGGTAAACGAGGACACAAGGGGGCATGGAGGGATGTCTTTGGGCTTCTTCAGGGCCCAGTAGTAGGATGCGAAGGCCCCTGCCAGGGTGCACTGACCCAGCGCGATGGTGAAGTTCACCAGCCAGAGGAACACAAACAGGTTACAGAGATGGAGGACCAGGATGTAGCGGTAGTACGCACTTTCCCCGCCGTAGAAGGCAAACATGCATTGTGACCCGGGGCACACTTTGGTGATATTGGTCTGACTGAAGGTCTGAAAGAAAGCAACAGATTTTATCTGGATGTGCAGTGGGACGAGAGCAGTGTGACCTTGTATTTGATTAAATATTTCTGTTTACGTTTAATTCACAGCCAAGCAGGAGAATAACATTTGCCAAATAATTTTTGCTCGCTGTCAGCAACTAACGTCACCTCTATTTAGAGATCGATTCCAAGAACTCACTGCTAAGCAATCAGATTTTACTTGTTGGCAATAAGAAAAGCCATTGCATTCATTTTGATTGATTACAGACAAAGTTTTCACAGCGCAAGAATGAACATTGGTTACAAGAATGAAGGATGAGTGACACCAGTATTTCTCCAGTAAACGGACTCACTTTTGGACTGCATGCGAGGTTGGCATACATGCATTTATCATCAGCAGCTGTGACCTTGTAGACGGCATTACCCGATGATGCTAAGAAGCTGAGGACAAACTAGTTAAGGGACATTTTATCCACACAGCAATAAATGCCTGCTGATGAGTCTGTTTTGGTACTTCAAATGTAACAAAAGTATTCAAACAAAACTAGATGTAGATTATCCACTTACACAAAGTCATCTTATCCGTACAGGTGTTGCTTCGTCATTGTTAAATGCGTCACGGAGACAAAAGAGCACAAGTTTTCTTCCATTTTCAACAGAATGAGAGAACTAGCACCCATGTTCTGTAACTACATAGTTACATTTGCTTTTATTTGTGTAGGCCAATATGGTTGATGATGCTCATATGCATCAACCTCAGCAGTGCATGATCTATTTATTCACAGTTTATTGCATAACACAGCGGAATGAAAGAGTTCAGGAAGCAGCTAGAAACAGAGAGGAGGATACACTGCTGTGACGAGCCAGTAGGCGATGCACACGGCCAGCAGGAAAAAGGTGATGATGGGGTAGAGGAGAGTGGACATGATGTAGCTGACGGCCCTATAAATCAGAGAGATCAAAACATTGTTTTTTTATTGTGCCGCATCATGAGAGAAAAAAGGAAGTCAGACGCTACACAACAGAGCTGCTGTTGGGACGTACCTGCTGCTCTCCTTGAGTAATGCAATGGCGATGCGCAGCCTCGCCCGCAGAAATATCAGGATAACAAAAATGACCACCTCAATTATTGAGAGCACGATCACTACAAAATAGAAGACACGTCTCATTAATAGTTGAGAGAACAAATGTGTTTTTACGTCAATGTAGCATTACATTTTTGGGGGGGAAAAATACAATTGACAATTCGTCAATATATTACCTTTTTTCCCCTGACTTTTCTTTTGACATAACACATTTTGACTTATTTGCAAAACTATTTCCGACCTAATATTTCTTCTTTTTTTTGGATGACATTTTTCAACATAATATATTTTTTAACTTTAACTCATTTCTGCAGCCTAATATTATTCAAAACATTCTTCAAACCAATATTTTTTAAGGTTTTTTACCATTATATTTTTTGATCTAATATATTTTGACCTTTTTTCAGCATGTTAATGATATGATTTGGGTTAAGCGGAACTTAGCGGAATGAGCATCGCGCTACAGCCAAAAGGGTTTGGGATAACAATGGGAAGAGTGAATCAAACGAGACTGGATAACAACATACTGAAGATGAGCCACGTCTGGCTGAGCTGAAGGTAAACGCCGAAGTCCGAATGGAAGCCGATATCAGAGATGGTGACATTAGCACCCGGCTTCCCTCTCAGAGAGCTGTACTCCCAGTAGCAGTGCCAGATACCTGAAAGACGCAGCGAGGAAGAAGGAAAGGATGCGACATGTAAGGTGAGACAAATCTATATCTGTCACAGATTGCCATGACAACACGCCAAGACGGCCGAGAAAGTCAAAATGTAAAGCATGCAGGTAACTTTGCCGACATGTGTACAAAGCACACGCCGCACTCACCGAAGCCGATCGCAGCGATGATCCCAAAGACAACGAGCCACAGCAGCACACCGGCGATGTAGCGCAGCAGGAGGATGAAGACCAGACTGACCATCATGGTGAACACCAGACCACTGCAACAACACCAACACACACATACTGCGTTCTGACCCGGATGACAGTTGGAAGTTATTGTTGTGACTTGTATAATGCACTGATGGGTCAGATTTCTTTTATTTTCCCCCTAGTACATAAGAGCACATAATCCAATAAATAGTGAACGCATTCTCACAGGAGGATCCAGTTCCAGGAATTTGCATAATCCTCAAAGATCTTGATGCCAATTTCTTTGGCATTCAGCAGGCTGGAGATACTTCTGTGATGGGGTTACAAGGTGAGATGGGAAGAGATGACAAAAAAAAGGATTTAATAAAGACAGAGAGGCGGACTGTGGCAGTTTTGTGCCACTGTCACTACAAAAAGGTGCTTGCTAGGGTTTCTCAAAAAACATTTTAGACACTTGACTCATCTTTGGTACTTTTACAATGACAAACAAAGATGGATACAGTTTAAAATGGCTTCTGATTGTCTCAGCGTTAGGAGCTACGTATGAGAGACATGTTCTCTAAAGCAGCATTGGTGTTACTGAAGCGCTCGGCAGCAGTAGTTCGTTATGGCGGAGAATGTTACAGCAGCATGTTACTGAATGTGATACGGAGCAGCTACTAGTGGACGAGAACATATTAATGGATGAGTCAGATTAAGTTAGTTCTATTCACATAACCAATAAAACATAGTGCTTCAAATAGTCAAGATAACAGACCCAAGATGAATTGTATTGTTGATCCATTTCACTCATTTAAAAAAAAGAAAAACTCACACAACATCTGAATCTTTATTTATTAATCTGTTAAATGTCCTTTTGAGGATTTTAAGTGATGCACTTTGAATTGCCTTATTGTTGAACTTGCCTTTAAAAAAAAAAACTTAACCCAAGTGAAATTCAGCATCAAACCAAACATACTTTTGTCTTAACAGTGTATTTGAATTACAATAACAACCCGAGGCTTACTGAGATCTCCACAGGGACAATATTACTACAAGACACAACATTGCTACTGCTAAGATCTGACCGCAGAAACACTGGCCTATGACTGAGAAATCCCTCGGGGGCGGACAGAGGAGGGAGAGAGGACGAGACAACATTGCTGCCACACAAACGCAATGCTGAAAGCTGTTGTGAAATCAAGCATAAAATGAACAGCTGTTGTCCAACTTCCTGCAGGTCAGTGAAAGCCAGTTTATAGACCACTGTTTGGATCATATGCAGTACTGTTTTGTAAACCTGCATTCAAATCCGGAAAGAGGAAGCAAACTGTGTGACCAGCAGAGGGCAACACATCCCCTCCCCATGGTATCTGACTCCAGTAGTAGATGATGTTTTCAGGCGGATACATGCGACAAACGATTGCATTATTAATCTGTCCTAATTCCCGTCCACTGCTGCAGGTGGAGGGAAGCAGGAACAGATTGTAAATGATAAAGACGCAGGGTTAGTCTACACAAAGCTACTGGCCATAGCGGAGGCAAAGTTAAAAAGCTATAATAAAGCATTTTGGAGACCTGTCCACTGCTTGTTGCACCGCTGTTACTTGGCTACGAAAAGAAAAGCATTAAAGCACATTATCTTTCATACTCGGGGCAAACACACGTTGGTCAGACACAGAATCATGTATGTTATCATATCAGCTCACCGGTACATGATTTCTCTGCTTATCCAACATTTAGAGCCATGTCAGCCCATTGCCGAGTCGATGGCGTGGATTAACAAAGCAGCTCGTAGCTACGCCTGAAGTTCCAATGTTGAACTTTCCCGTAAGCTGCATTTTCATGCGCTAAACATGCAGACGACTTTGAATGTGGTTGGACACATTCCCGGGCATCAGTGACGATGCCCACTTATCATACCCAGTAATATCAGTCCAGAGCTCTCTGGGTGCCGAGTGGGCAGCCCTATTGACAGTATGACAGTTTTAAAATACTTTACATATACTTTTACCAAAGCAAATAAAATGCAGATTCTCAATCTCATCTCATACATTAGTTTGACATGTTTTACATAACTTAACGGGTTGAGGAACAACATTAAAGATTCACACAGCAGGGAAACAGATCTTACTTGGCGGCATCTTTGAGGTCGTTGACACTTCGCTCGTGATTCTCACCGTCTTTGAAGATGGTCTTATTGGCTACTGTTAAAATCCCATTTCTTGTAATGAAATCAGGGAAGCACCGCTGAAGGACTGAAGCACATTTCTTTAGTGGCCTGGCCAACAGATAGTGAGCTGCTGTTGTGATTACAGTTATTCAGATTCACTTACAGGGTCTGCTTGGCACGATCATTGATGGGCAGTCTTCATCTTGAATGGCTTCTACAACGGACTGAGAGGGCAATAAAAGAGATGGCAAAACAATTAAGTCAAATCTAGTTTGTATGAAGACCAAAAGGACCTCCGACAGTGGACAGCGGTCTCTCACCTTACTACTAATATCAAAGCCCGGCCTGCAGAATTGCTTGTAGTACTCCCAGCTATTGGTATTCCACGAATCCAGTAGAGTTGCAAATCTGTCAGGGCACTTGGAGACACAGAGCTGGAAGAGAACAACACTTCCTTTTAATGAGCAAACCCATCAATCTTGCATAACCGACCGTGGAGGACAGGTTGAAATGTGTCGGCGGAAGGGGCTCCGTTCAGTCTCTTACCTGGGTTGTAGGGCACTGGAGGTGAACCAAAACTGCAGGATTGGCACATTTCAACATGTTGAAGTAGAATAATATGGATTTGTTTCTGTGGAGAAAAATGGGGATGATAAAAACACACACACACACACACACACACACACACACACACACACACACACACACACACACACACACACACACACACACACACACACACACACAGGGATGGAGTGAGCCGTGCAGTAAAGCTCGCCATAATCAATCACAAAGCATCACAGTGTATTGGGGTCAAATCCTCACGAGAGTGTAAAAATAACGGCCGTACTTAATTATTACAGCGTACAATCATTTCAGTCATGTGTAGACTCACGCATTGGGGGTGTTTTGGCGGCCGCAGAAGTGTCCATGGCTGTCAGTCGGATAGACGATCTTGCTGGGGTCGCCATGGAACCAGGCTAAAAACACAGCACGGCACAACTTTAACATTTGCGAAAAAGTCCTTCTCTCGCCCGGATTGATACGTGACTCCACTGACAACCAGCTAGAGAGGGACGGCCCCCTGGCGACAGTGTTGGGACTTCCTCTCCCCTAATATGTGATGTTTATCGTACATGCGATAGACAGAGGGAAGACATGTGCAGTCAGGTGTGCCGGTTAAACCAGGATATGTTTTTCCGCTTGATGATGCGGTGAAAGAAAGTGGCAGATTGGGGGAAAAAAAATGAGACTGTGAGATAAAAAGAGAGACAAATTGAAGATGAGGAAATGGAAAAAAGGAAAAATTGAGGCCAGACGGAAAGAAAGTACTGCACCGCCTCAGTCCTTTTCAAACAAAGAGGACTTTTGTCACACTCAAGTGAACTAAACAGCTTCAGGAGAATTTGAATGAAATGAGAGCTGGAGGGAATCACTGGTCATCCAGCCAATAACAAAAAAACAAACACAGAAGAGGCGGGTTGTGGTGGATCTCCGTCTTATTAGAAAGACTAGCGCATTCCCTGAGGGAGCTGCATTCCTCGACTCCCACGCAATTTAAACAATCAAGACATTTTGTTAAACAGCCCACCATGAAATTAGCAATAAATCAAACTAAGGGAAGAAAAAAAGAAGCTTATGTTCTTCTCAAGAACATCAATCGTACATTAAGATCATTGCAAATGATTGTCACACTTCCTGACCAGAACATCATACAGTATGTGTGTGTGTGTCTCCGTGTGTGCGCGTGTGGGTTAAGGACTTTGCAAACAGCAGCATTGTGTCAAACTCACCCACAGTACCCAGCGCGATGTAGCCGAGGATGACAACGATGAATATAACACAGCACACCACATCAGTGCAGCTCCTGGGAGGGGAAAGAAATGTGTGAAAAATTGAAAACACATAAAATAAGGTTGTTTATGATCGGTTGTCCTGAGAAAAACACATGCACATTGTGACAGAGAGAGCACGACACGGGGGTTCAGCTTCACATCTGGATGCAGCATTTGCTACCAGGTATAACAAAGTATCATCTGTGCTTTCTGGAACTGTAGCAGAGGTCTACTGACTTTCTAATGAGACTGAACCCCCCCACACTACCATTCTGCCCCCTCCCAAGCCAACCGTCCCACAGGCGCAGAAAGCTATTTGAAGTTTACCTTTGTCTCCCTCCACAGCATCATCGGCTTGCTAGTTTAAAACAGTCTTTCTCTCTTCCTCTCTCCCTCCTTTCCACTCAGAGAAGCTGTCAGCCCAGCCCCTTTATAGCCCAATCCCCCCCCCCCCCCCCCAACTATTCAGGCTGAGCGTACTGAGCGCAACCTTGAACAAAGCTTATCTCAACCCACTGTGCCCAGTAGTACCACACATAGGCTCCCAGTAACACCATACGCGACGCAAATTGACTTGAGACCCTCATCTCCTCCAGCTTTCAACCCTTCTCCTCGTCATCCAGAGGAGCGAAGCCGAAGTCAAAAGGAGGCCTGTGATCAGAGATGTGACAGTGTTTCCTCTGTGTAGTTGGTTGAAGAGTGGATTGTCTGCAGCATGGTAATATGGTCCTTTACGGCCGACTCAGCGGCATCCAAATACTATTTCATGATTAAGCAGCAGAGTGTAGAGCGGCTGGAGCCCTGATGCACACAGATCAACGCATACCATGCAAACGTTCAGCTTTAAATAGACACGTATTTACTTACATTAGTCAGTGTGCTGTTACTCGTCTCTTAAAATAAATTCACCACTTATTAGTGGGGCTGTCAACATTAACGCATTAATCTATGCGATTAATGTGACCTAGATTAATGCAACAAAATATTTTAACGTACTTAACGCTTGTTTGTTTACTTAGTTCACCACAGGGCCGCTAGCTGCAGTCAGTTACATCCAGATGGAGAGAGCTTTTTGCATTGGAAGTAAAACAAACAGAGGTGTGACATACAGCAGGGAACTGTGCAGAGGAATTACTCCACGTGTCAAACAGAAGGGGGGTGAGTAGCAAACGGACCACTTAATGCACTGCTATGTTAAGCTAGCTGCCACGCTGAGCTAGTTGCTATGCTACGTCCATCTCAACATCTAACGTTACCCTGCTCGGCACACAGTCCGCAGAGGACCACCACTGTGTCCCTAAAAGACGTGGTTTGAAAACGCTCTGGCTAATGTGGGGAGATTTGTGTTTCAAATAACATTAACAATTAAACTGTGTCTAATACACACTTTCTAAAGTGATTACTCATTACTTTTAAGATTTACTCTTACTCTAGAAGAAAAACAAACATTATAAATAGGGGTGTAACGATTCATTCACTGAATTGATTAATCGATTTATATTCCTGCGATCCAACTGAATCTATCTGTGCTCCGCAAATCGGCATTCCGGACGACATATATCGATTACAAATCGATTGAAATGGTACATAATCGATTGTATTGATACTTGGAAACTGCACATTGGATTTAAGTACTAAAACAGTATGGATGTGTGTGTTTTTTTTTTTTTTTTAGCACTTTAGACACGGTAAACGTTTTTTTAGCACTTTAGATACGTTAAACGTTACTCGATTCAGTCTGCCTGTCTGTGACGTCATCAGTACACTGTCCAGTAAAGTTACTGAATTGATTTCAAGTCACTGAATCAAGTCGAATCGTTTAAAATTAACCCAGATCGTCCATGAATCGAATCGGCAACCATGAATCCCTAATTATAAAACAACATTGTAACAACAACAATATTCATTAATCGCCATTAATCAAGATTATTATAAAAAATTTTTTTATCTATTATTAGTTAGGGTCAGCTGTGCAGATTTAGGTTGCATTGCAAATTACTCTGGACTCCAGACACTAGTTTAGGAGCAACTTTTTATAGTTCAGCATTAATAACTGCAATGAAGCTTGAAATTTATGTCAAGCGGCTCAGGTGGAGTTTGGGAATGTTTTTCTGTCCCAGCAGGGCTTCTAATTCTCCCCGCTCCTCATTTAAAAATGAGACAACTCCATTATCATTGCTCTGAGTTACATTAAGACTGTGGATACCTGCAATTTCATCTCCATTAATAGACCACAAATAAAACAACTCCTTTGTATCTTGAGGCAAACATCCCAACCGCAGCCAAAACCTCCAATAACTGACACTGGAAGACAAAAGACTAAAAGAGCAGTTGGTTGCCATACAAAATGAGACTCAGGGACTTGGTGTAAATTATTTTCCCCCAGAAGAGCGCTGCAATTATTTTTGGGAGATAATAGAGAAACAAAGGCTGTGCACAGCTCCACCCCGGGGAAGATGGCTCCGGTTTTAGACTGGCAGTGACTATGAGGCGTATAACAACAACCCAACACACTATATGCAGCATTTGCTGACATCGTGCATAATGCTAACAAAGAGAGACATGGGAATTCAATTTCATCATATTTTAAAAAGAAAAGAACAAGAGAAAAGGATGTCAGGGTTGCCATAGCAATGGTTGCATCCCTTGTCTTTGAATCCCTCTCCATCCTTTAGCTGGAAGATGACGTAGCGATCACTCTGCAACGCATCATATGATTAAAAAGGGAAGAGATCTGAGGGGTGGGGGTTTTAAAGCCAACCTCGCCTCTCCCAAGCCGTAATATGTTACTGTAGATCCGTCTGCATTATTAAGACAAAGTGCACACAGCACTACGGTGCGAGTACAAAGTCACCTTTGAAACATGCAAAAGGGAGCGTTGATGAGAGCCTGACGAAGTGAGGGGAGGGAAAACAACTCGGCTTTGCTCTCTTATCTCCGAAAAGCAGGCCAGATCCAAAACAGCACATCTATTCAGATCCCAACCTGGCCTCTTCAGATGGGAAGTGGGACTAAAGGGACCCGAGCATTGCTCTGCTTGTGAACGGAGCCTGCTGGGGCAGTGCCGCTTTGACAAAAGACAAAAGAAATCCGTGCTGGAAGTTAGAGCAATAAGAAACTTTTGTGTCAGTGTTATGTTTGCTGGGCTGATATTCTCAGCGATCCAAGGTGACAGATGGCAGCAGCGCCACAGAATAGCATGAGTTCCATTGTGGTGTGAACCTGCCAGCCTGTCTCTGCTTTGTAACAGACTAACAGGAAAGGACATCTTGAGGGTCAGATCTGCAGATCATAGGGAAATTCTCCACGGTCGTGAAGCCGAGAGCGACTTTCTGTAGCATGGTATACGCCACATTAAAGGCATTACTACATAAAGGCATCCTAATATGATTGTGACTCTTCTGCGTAGATTTTAGATGATATTGTAACAGTTTGAATAAACACAGATATGGTTACTTCATTTTGGTACCAAGCCCACGTGGAAACAAGACGACCACAGAGTCGGTTCTCCCTCAGTTCTCATTAAGAAAAGCCTTCGAGCCACGGAAACATCAAAGTATCTGTGGTGCCTTCATCCAGCTGTAGCAGGGAAATGGGCTGAAGAGGGAGGTGGGATGGAGAGACACAGGAGGACTGAAACATGCCTTCACAGCGGCCTGCCGAGGTGACATTGAACATGAAAGGGAGAAGAGCCTCCATTACCTCAGAAAATGACTAAATCATCAATAGACCCTGTGGGGACCCAGAAGGGTTTTTATGCATTATTGCAAAACTCTGCTCGTCATTGTGCCGGAAAGCAATCATAAAATGTAGACGTCATTTTAAATATCCTAATACATTTATGTCGGGGAATTTCTCAATCCACAGTTCATCATTTGAATCAATTCATGACTTTTTTTTTGTATTTTGAAATGACGGTGTCCCAACGCGGCTGCCCACCTGACAGCATTATTTCTCTGTACTATATCGATATAATTGTAGACAGTAGGCTGTAGTTCAGCAGGAGGAGTGCTACGGTGCTTCCGCTGGAAAACCAGGCGATGCAACAGCCTCGGTGCCGTGGGCCACATGGGTGTCATTGGGAGAACTCCAGCCACCAGCTTGACTTATGGCCATTGATCTGTGCGGTGGAGTGGAAGGAGCTGCCGGCACTCGGCCTCAATCTTTATTAGCATGGCGTGACGAATGATCAATCTATCAACGCGCCGACTTGGGTGTGTACCAAAAACGTTATACAACGGACAAAAATCAATATACATGAAAGACAGTGACGAATGGTGAAGAATTAAAAAACGGTTTCTTACAAAGTCCTAGCGGTAAGTGTACATTTAGTAATTCACTCATTTAAGTGTATGATAAGTGTTATTGTACTATAAGGCAAGAGGGGATGATGTGGAGTGTGTGGACTACCTTTTATGAACAGGCCCTCTGAAGTTTGGGTCAAACTTGCGCGGCTCACCTATAAGAAAAGCAGAGTGGGAGGGATTAGCATAAAACACAAACACAAATAATATCTAAATAGATATGTTGTGCATTTCTTTCAACATTGACACTGTGTACAAGTAATGCGCACCAGAAAAGTTAACCCGCTGCTCTATTCAGCCGGCCGGGACGATCAAACTAGGCCTTCTCACTGTGCAGGGCGAAGCTGAGACAGAGAAGCAAAAGCCAAAACAATGCAGCTAACGCAGAAATCACCTACAAATCCTCATGAACAACTCTAAGCTAAACAGCGTATATGGCGCGCAGCGAGGATTCCCTGTTTGATCCAGCAAAGGGAACACTGAAAACACCGAAGTGCCATCCGTCCCAGGGGGGGATCACTACCACGGGGCGCTCTCGCAGGTATGAGGAGGCATCTGCATTCATCAGCAGCTTCTTCTTGGACGCCCACGCAGTCTCCAGCCCAGTTGAAACTCTCCAAGCAGCTGGGGCGCACTGAGGGGAAGCATGAGTGGTCCAAACCTCCCATCTGCCCATTATCACACTTGATCCTGTCGAAAGACGTAAATCCCAGCCGTGTTCCTGAAGCTGTGAGGGATGAGCACACTGTGCCGCGTACAAAAAGTCTTCTGAACGTACTGTGAAATGTAATGACGCCTATGTTAACTAGCCTTTTATTTCTTTCGGCATACAATTAACAACGCAATGCCAGCAGTAAATGTATCCCAATACCGTGTTGGCTGTAATGGATTCTGCCTCGATCCCATAGAGCTCAGAAATTATGCAAAAACTATTAAAAAGACATACTGCTGCACTGGAGGAAATCATCTTCCACTACAATCAACTTGGCAAGTGTTATTCAACAACTGTAGGTTTCATTATGACTATGCTTATGGAGTAGTGTGTGCTACAGTTTTAAAATTGCACAAAAGTTTGAATGACACATTTTTAGGAAATAGGAACAAAAGGGATTTCAGAGAGACGCAGACAAAAGGGTCCGAAATATGCATTTCAAGGATGTGTTCAAACTGATTCAGCTGTAAAAATGTCATCAGCTAAATCAACAGGAAAAGTTGTATTATAAAACACCAGTTTAACCAAACCAGGAGAGGCAACGTGCACCAACTAGTCTCTGCTAAATGGGGACATCACTGTGACGTCAATACCACTAACGGCCCTGTTGGTCTACAATACTGCATTGGTTTGCCTTATTACTTATAGTAAAAATTCTAAAACCACAGCTACATCTCTAGCAAACTTAACACCGAGACATAGGCGTTAAATCGATTACGACATTGTGCAGAGCGTGTTAGATCAGGAGGAGAATTATTCAGTGTGTTTACATGGTGGTATAATTTGAATCTTTGCTTAGTCGGACTATGCTATCTTTCGGGGCAAGTGCTATTATCCCAATATACATGGCAGTGAATAAATGGAATCATTGGCCGATACGATAGGTGGCGCTGTTTTCATTACAACTAGTGGTGATACAGCCATTTCCGCTTGACCGCTTCACCACTACTAACAACAACATCAACATTACGAGAAAGATGGCGAACGGAGAGCAAGGTGAAGCTACATTTCTCTACTGTTTGTGCATGATGCTAATAGGAGCACAGCGAATGCGAATGGCGCTATTGGCTGATTTGATAACGGAGAGAAGACGCCGTCGGGATCTCAAGCATGCACAAAGACGCAAAGTCCAGGTTCTTATCCGGATCACCGTTACATGCGGCAATAGTCGAACTATCAACTGGATCGGATCGAGTTATCCAGGGGTGTTAGTCGGATCGTAGTCGGACCACACATAGTCGGACAAAGGTGTTTACATGAAACGGATAATTCGATTTCAGTCCGACTAAGCCAGTTATTCGAAGCCATGTAACCCCGCTGACAGTGGATGTGATGATGGCAACTTTAGCTCTTTTAAATAGCAGCAGAGCGGCTAGCCGTGATACAAAACCATGTGCTTTTTTTGGTCTTCTCGCTGTTAAAACCCCCGCTACTGTGCCGTGCCATCTGTTTGGCTGTCACTGAAAGCCAATCACTTCCGTTATGTTTCAGCTCTAAAAACGTGAGATGTTCAGTGTTAAGCGTGTAAAGTCCTCAGCCAAGGACACAATGTCACCGGACCAGGTGCTCACTGCAGCGTTTGCACAGCACTGAATTTAAGTGGATGCTACGTTCCAAATGACCTACAAATGATTCCTGCACGTGAACTAAAAACAGCTCCATACCAATTAGATTGTTATTTGCCACATTTGTTTACTTACGGTTTGGAATAAAACGAATAGATAACAAAGAGTAATACTGTCAAACTATCACATTGTGAACATGTATTACCATTACAGCCCCATTAGCAACCGTGCATGTTTTAATGACGGAGTAATATATTCCACTGTGTTGTACCAAATGTTGCCTCAGATGGTTTTGTATCCTGGTGTTTGCTGCTACACGCGCATGGCCAGCAGGTTGTATCACATTAACTCACATCAGAGCTAATTAGAGATGCAGCTGCTGGGGGGGGACAAGATACATAGCTGTGTACTATGTAGGCTGAACTTACTGTACTATACTGTAGGATTTAAAAAAAAGAAATCTCATTGATCCTCCTCGGTCGTGTGAAGTCACAACAGAAGGTCTCCACAGTGCGGGGGACACGGTGACACAAACAAGTTGCTCCATATGGCGAGTGCCAGTTGAATCCCACTGAGATCTGGGAGAGCCAGTGGTGGGAGGACACGCCGTGGTTGAGGCGACTGTCGGGGAGCGATCATCGCAAACATGTGATTGTTGCATAATCCAAAACACAGAGGACAGCGTACCGAACGATTCTGTAGGGTTGCGCACACCTTCGCTCCGACGCGATAACACCGAGGTGACAAGAGATCGTGCTTATTCAGCAAGGATCAAATTAGCTGCTGTTCCAACTCACTACATCAGCTTGACTCCTCACACAAGGTTGTTGCACTTCTCTCCGTCCCACAAAACACATGTCAGTGAGGGAGGGGGGGGGTGAAAGAGAGTGGGGCAAACCATCACTGACGCCTGGATACAAGCGGACTCTGCATTAGACGACGGCTGTTCAGACTGCAGTGCGGTGCAGGACACGAGGGTGGTGCACTGGACGCGTGCCGCCGGCTGCAGTCGGGCTGAGGGAGGTTCTGTGGTCAACAACATTCGGAAAAAGCCCGGCGGGCATGCCGCACTGGGACGGCCAAAGTCTCCGTTAGAGCCCCACTGACGGCTGCTCTTCAGCCTGGGATCAGTTTACAGGGGTGAGCACCCAATGCCATTAATGAATTTTGTGATACAGAGATATTTTATGATAGAATGCCTTCTTCCAACAGGGGTTTAATGACAGCTCTATAAATAAATTGAAAGGCAGAGTAGGAATGCCTCACTCGGAAGCGAGTACCTCGCGTCACACAGATACTAAAGTATGTGTAGGAGCTGCGATAGACTGCTGAGAATCAACTTCAGAGTGCCTGTGCAGGAAAACGAACCAGATGCAGAAACCCCGTCCAGAGGGATAAAGCTTCTGCAAAAAGTCACAGAAGTGGTTCATCGCCCCGTATTTTTCACCACTTGGGAGGAGACTAAACTGCACACCCGTCTCCTGCAGCTCGTGTTCTCCTCAGGAATTATGTGCACGCCGACTGAGTCAAAAATGTAAAGCACGCAAATGTCAAATATAAAAACGGTAGGATTAGTAATCATGCAGCACAGGGCTGTGATCACACCCTCCACGGTACAACTTTTTGCACTTTCTCCGGTGTTTTCCAGCTCGCCACCGTAACCTCAGCCCATGCACAGACGCGGGCAGACACAGGCACCAGTGTGCCCGGGCCCCACCGGGCCCTGCTGTCCAACACAGGCCTCTTTCATCCCGTGGTCAGGCAAACAGCTCGCACCCTGCAGGTGCTCGACGTGGGCTGGGTCAGAGGGGAAGGACCCGTTTTGTTGTTGTTTTCAAAACACTTTTAAGACCCGGAGAGAGTGAAGTGCTGCTAGTTGGTCACAGCTACATCGGGTTAGCTCAAGCTACAAATAAACACAAAATTATAAATAGAAAATGGTAAACATTCTGCATAATTATGTTCCTCAGCAGGGTAGGTACATCCTGTGAGCTGTACACCTTACGCTCATTCATAATTGATGGAAGAACTGGCTTCTGCCACTCCAGAGAGGAAAGCAGCATCAGACTTTTGGGCTTTTACTCTTGTTTGTTTTTCTGAATTTGCATTGCGTGATGGGAAGGAGAATGGGTGGAGCCGATGGGGATTCGTGATCAGTGTGTCACAGTTTGAAAAAAAAGAGAAAACACTCATCCAACTAACTCAACTCAAACAAAAAAATGTAAAACACACGTTGAAGTCTCCTCCACTTCCCAGAAAGAAAGAAAGAAAAAAATGAAACTAAGCCCAAATAATTAAAGCAGAAAAATAGCTCCAGATGGCTCCCCACTTTCATAATATTAATGTAGAGATAATACACACGAACCTTCTTGTGTAGCACCATCACTCCCTTTTCCTCTGGCTTTCTTCCATCTGCTTCTGAATCTAAAAACATTTTTCCTGCCGCGCTCTCATTCCCCCCCCACTGGAAAACATTACAACCTCTCAAGGGCTCGTCTGCTCATTGAAACAAGACAACCACACGCAGATCTCTGCTTTAGGTTTGACCCTCTCAACTATTAGCAGATGCTCAAGGACTATAGGGACACATCGGTGGTGGGTCGCCCACGGGGTAACCTATCTGTGCGGGAACGGCGTTAACAGTGCACATATTCAGAGGCAAGGCTAAGACCCGGCGCTGTCCCCACGTTGCCTCAAATGCAGAGGATAGTGGGATCCCCCCCTCCTCCCCAAGAGAGGCGTTTGCATCCGAATGTGTCAGACGCTGACAGCTAGCTCGCGGCTCAGAGCGGAGCAGCGGCAGTATTGTGGTCGGCGCTTTGTGACCTTGGTTACATCTGCGGGAGCCTGCTGGGCATCAGTGACAGGCTCAACTGGCTTTGGGCTGGACTCATAAAGACTTAAGAGGATATGCCTCATATTGATATCCAAATATGCTCTAGACACACAAATACGAATGCACGCGTCCGTTCTCATGTAAGAGTCTTGATGCTTTAATTACCCGTTGCCTTGTATTCAACTTCCTCAGGTTTTAAATGTTGATATCCTGAAAAAACGGGACAGAATCGCACCACGAAAGTATGTGAAAATTAATCTACACTGAAAACAGATTACTGTAAGGAAAAATAAATCTCACACTTGCAGCTAGATGTATTTGCATGTTTTAGCAAAAATTGGATTTTCAGCACTCAGTACTGATCTAAACGACTAATTAGTGTGAGAAGTTTCTGCTGTGTACATTAACACAGAAAACCCATCATCTCCCTTGGCCCATTAAAGTTTAATGTCAGGCGAGATGCATCCGAGCCCCAGATTCGTAATGGTAGGAATAACAAAAAAAATCTGCTTTTGCACATTAGTGTTTTTGTCTGTGGCCACTTTGCGAAGGCTGTGGTGCAAACTCCTTTCTGATCAAAGTACCAAAGTTCCAAAAGTAGCTGAATCTATCAAGAAAGTGGCCGAGCCGGCTCCGCCCCTTCATGACCCCCCAAATCCCTACCCAAAAATTATCATAATGAACAAAGACAGCAAAAATGGCTATTGTTAGCGTGTGACAAGCGGCGAGCACTCCGGAATATGCACGCACAGGAAAGTGGCCCGTCCTGCTGAATGAAGTGAGCGGACGAGCTCATTGCAGATACTAGATTTGCTTTTTTATGAACATCGCGTCTCCTTTTTGATCGCGCCAGCTGCATCATTTAGCAGATTAAACCTTTTAAAAGTAGTTTCGGGTCTCGCTGCGCATCAGAGACCCAAAAGCATGAGGGTAGTTTTATCCCTCACCCATTTCCAGTGGGTCTTCGGCTTGTGTTTCATAAATCACTGCCTTCTAGTCGTAGACAAACACTGACTCCATTTGTACTGCAAATGGGATATTTAAAAAGTCTCCTTGGTGTCGCTTCACGGCTCAACGCCCCATCTTCATGGACTTCAATAAATCCCTCGTCAAGAGCTGTGCAGATGTGAATCTGAAATTATTTACTGACTCACCCCATCATTAGTGTGAAGAATACACTTCCAGCCACTGACATCTACTGAGAAAAGACACAATATTTGTCACAAAAGAAGATAACCTTGTTAAAAATAACGAGCAGATTTGACATGAAGACTCATAAAAGGTGCAGCTGCACCGTGGCGTGAGCGTCCGTCTCCATTCAGACGGTTATTTGCAGAGAACAGCGACACTTAAAAAGCCCGTGATGGCACTTGGCCTTTGGTGCAAAATGGGCCATTGGAGCCACAACATCCTCCGACTGACATTTCACGGGAAGAGGCTGTGAATGTTGGATTCTAAACCAAAGCCCTCAGCTTTCTGTCATCGGCTCAGTACAAAAACGCAGCGTTTAGGGAAGCTGCCCATGCGAGGAATTTGTTAATTAACAGTGTGCCCGACTCAACACTTTCTGTGGTGAATGGAACTCATATCTAAATTGTTACTTACAAACCTGTCACAGAATGATTACGAGCCATTTCCTTCTTTTATGACTGACTGAACGTTTCACTGAACGCTTGCTACATGTATAATATACAGACCCCTCCGCGGCCAGACGCCAATGACGGGACGGCAGGTAGTTATGTTCTTACACACATGGCTGGACTCATCAGTGCTCGCTGGTCTGTTGCTGCTTTTTATGGAGGGGAATGTCATTTATGTACATTAACTGAAAACACCAACCGCATAACATGTTAGGGCTGGGTGATTACTCCATGTTGATGAAGAACGGCATCATAACCGTCCATCATCCTGCCTTCAGTTAAACATTCCCTAATTTTCCCAAAAATATACTTCTTTTTCAAGGCAGTAGGAGGGGAAACAAACTCCTCTTCTGTGATTTCTCAGTGTCACTGCAATGTGGCACGGTTAGCAAGAAACCTTTTGTCTTGGATTCTATGGAACGGACATCAGAATCAACAGACAATCAGTTTAGCGAGTCGTTCTATTCCACCAGCTGAATGGGAAATAATATACTTGACAGATTCAGACACTTCTACCCCCTTCAAAAAGACAAAAAACTGCAGGAACGTCACCGGGAAAACTGCAAGTTTGAGTATACGGATGTCCAATGTGTCTTTTTATTTCATAATCAGGTGTGAGACCAACATTTTCTAAATTTGCTGAGGTAGCTGATGACATAAAGCAGCTGACCCAAACACAGTGAGGCCCCATAACTCCCTCCAACGCTCCGCTGGATCAGTGGATGCAATATGATGTGCCTTAATTAAACTGTCTCAATAGATTCTATGCAATTCCCTGGGGAGAAGCGCTTGAGTTGACAAGAGGAAAATATTGCAGGTATTTGTACGACACACACCCTGCATCATGTACAGTATATGATAATAATAATGACACACAGGCTCTACCTTGTGTCTCACGCCGAATCTGATTTTACTTTACACTTGACATAATCTCTAGAGTCAGGTTTGTGTTGATAGGCATTGAAGCCCCCCGATGGTGAGCTGCACGTCTGCCGAGAGCCGTGACCGTCGACCGCGGATGACAGGTTGCAGCGGTGATTGGCACTGTGCTGTAGTCATGACATATGAGGGTCAGCGTGGGGAAAACACAGTATTTCTTCCATCGTGAGCGGACCTCGCAGCGCTCTATCTGAAGATCCTCGCTCCGACAGTCCTTCCGGTTACATACAACTCCCCACACTGCGAGTACGCATACTCAAAAAACCACCAGTGTGTGGTTAAATTTTAAAAAAAATCAGCGGTGGACGGTTATCCTTTGTCTCAGAGGACGGCCACAGCGGGGCATCTGGTGGTGATAAAGGATTATTTTTGCTTTGATAAACAACATGATTACCAAGGCAGGCTAATGGACAGAAAATCTGCCCTTGTATTAAATATATATCCTGGCGCATCGAAGATGTCCCTTGGAGACAGTAAATCCTGTGTTATCATCAACGTTTACAGAGGACATTGATTTGAATCCTCATTTAGTGGCAGAAATACCTGCACCGCATTTGCTACTGTTTGGTTTTTAAAGAAGGAGGAACAGTGGAGATGCAGACTCATTGTTGTTAACAGTTTACTACAATATTTTGCATTAGATATATATAGCAAAATATAGCATAAACGTGTAAACCGTGAACGTGTATTTGATGTAAACCCATCTGTCCCTGAAGATAAAATGTCTCAACTGCAATTCATCATTGTGAGAATAAACGTTGGCGGGCTGCTTTTCTTTGTCCTGTTCGGGTTTTGGAACAAAACAATCTGACATGTGTTTTTTTTCAGATATAGTGATGTGCATTTTCCACTAACATTAAATTCTGACAAAACCGATAGATCTGCTAATCCATAACACATCGGCATACCGATCGATTACCGAGATAACGTCAACGTGCTCTTGTGTCGTCACGCCAGTCGACCCGGTACCGTTAGCTACAAATACAAAATAACGTTACGACCAAGTGATGACAAGTGGAGGAGGAAAGTGATGCGACTTGATTGTCTCCCATCCAGGGGACTTATTCACCGGGGTTAACGGCAATAACCGTAACGTTGTAACGCCGGAATTAACGCCAAATCGCCACCAAAAGACGCAACAACAAAAAAAAAAAGCCCGTTGACATGTTTCGAGACAGCCGTTTAAAACACGACCGTTGACGTTGCCGCGTTTTCGACGTCAACCGTCAAAAATACCCCCCAAATAGTTAGAAACTGACAATGGGAGCTTAGCTAACGTGCCCGTGAATCACAACAAGGGGTTAAACGTCCCTCGGGCGGAATAACACCTTTCTTCCCCGTTGTCTCACGTCGTTACACAGCAAAAAGAGAGATACAACAAAGACGAAGCGACACTCACCGTAGTGCGAGGAGGGGACGTCCGTATTTCCAGCCATGGCACTTAGCGGGGCAAATGCGACGTCGCCTCCGGTTTTGGAGACCGCATACGAGAGTCGGGGTGAACCGCCGCGGTGATTTTCAGCGCCTCTCGCCCCGGTCCCGTCGAGAAGCGAAACGCAGCGGGAACCTGGAAGAGGCTCTCGGGGCTCTTGGAGGATGCTCGCGGCCACGCAGCCGAGCGTCAGCCGTGTTTACAGCGTGACGTCATTAATTATTCCAAAAACGTTCTTAAAGGGGACGTGCACCGCGGCTGCTGCTGCCGCCGCGTCCTGTTTACCCTTTGTTTAGGTCAAAAGCACATCGGTCCCGTGTGCTTGGACCGCCGACATGAATATCCGTAGGATCCATAAACACATCTGGATCGGATGGCTTGCGAAAAATGTCTGTGACTGCAATGCGCCCGGTAAATTGCAGGATGCCATCTTTTGGTTGATTAATACCACAGCCAATATTGCAGGAAGCATGCTAGTAGTGCTGCACAGCGGGGCGTTGGGTGAAGAAACACTGCCCTCATCCGGCCATTCTGTGGCACTGCCAATATTATTCTCTGCAACAAACTGTTAACAGTGACATTCATGCTCTAAATGTGCATGAATGTCACTGCCACACACAGGTGGCCTTGATTGACACCTAGCTGGTCAGATGTCAGTCAAGGCCACCTGCGTGTGTGGTCCAGGTCCACACACAAGAAAATATTACACACACATATGGGCCCTTAAAATGTATTATTACTGCTTGTGTGTAATTAGTGTTTATTTATCCATTGAGGAACAATACTGAAGAATGCTGAAAACAGAAATAATTTAGTGAAGTAGTACGCTATAATATCTCAACATATATACTTTCCATGTTAGTATTCAGTAGTGACTAAGGCCAGGATGTGGCAGCAGTGACTGCAAATTGGGCACGATAATTGAGGGGAATCCTAGCGATGCAGGGTTCAATTTTTGTATTGCATCAACAAAATAAGACCAAGACAGGAGAATGTTGCAGCCAAGGAGATTCAACCTGGCTTTTCCCTGAATAATAATTGAACATCGTCAAACGTTATCCCTTTTAAATACCATCACATCTAAATCGTGAAATATTTCATACATTTTAATGTAAGATTGGATTATAAATGGGCCAGGTCATTTGTATTCCCCTCTGACATCTAAAAAGTGACGTCTCTCTCAGTGCTTTCTGGATAAAAAAAGTAATAGAAGCTCAGGGAGCCGAAGGCCGGGCATTAAGAAGGGTGATGTGGGAGGATCAGTGCCAGTAGCACACGGAGAGAATCAGAATCACCTTTTTGTGCAATACAATCGTCTTGATGACAGGTTTTCAACCTTTTATGGCCCAGAACTGTTGCTACTGATTTACATCCTCCAGAGATCCTCTCATGAGTCTGGTTGTGGGAAAAAAAAAGAAAAAGGCCACTGAGACTAGAAACATCTCATAGCCAGCAGATGTAACAATGTAAAGAATTGTTTATCGGTCCTGCTGTAGTTTTATGTTTTCTCAGAGAATTTGTGTTCTTTGAACTTCTGTTCATCGACATTAGATGCAGATGTGTTTGATGCTATAAATAGAAGCCAGATGGGAACCTATTTGGAATGGCACTACCTGCTGTTGTTTGCATTCCTATAATTTTAGAAGTCAATAATATTCGCCACAGTAATAATCAAGATTTACTTACGCAACATAAGATCAGTAACAGTAACAGAGCAAATATTAACTGTCAATATGAAGAAAAAACAATGTAACGCTACGACATGACACAATGTCAATCAAAGCCGTTATTAATTACCAGCAGTACGAAGGTTCACTAATCCTGCATGGAGTGCCCCCGCTTTCTGAAACACAAGATAATTCATTTCTCTGCCCTTTTTGCAGTTTGGAAAGTGATGGAGTTTTTATAACAAGAGGCAGAAGGAGACGCTCTCAACACAATCACCCTTTGTCTTTTTCATTCAGCGCTCACAATTGCTGCAACGGCAATCAGCTCTGCTGACTCGCATAAATTGAAATCCCCCCAAGTCACACAATTAGAAGGAAGCGTTTAGGTAACGCTGCACAGCCGCAGCAGCGCTGCATAGACGGCCGAGAGAGATAAACTCGACGGCTGGAGGCCTTTTTCATCCGCGAATCAATTGCATGAGCACAACAACTCAGAGAAGCGGTGTGGTAACAGGAAATTGCATCTGTGATTGGTAGGGATGCCAGCCGATGAGCCAATAAACCGCCTCTAAGTGGGGACAGTTTGCAAAGAGAAGGAGGATTTTTAATCTGTTGGGCCTATCGAGGGGCGGGTCAAGGGGACACAAACCCTGTTTTCAGTCCCGCCCACACTTTGCCCCCATTTAAAAGATGTGTCCCAGCAGAAATGCACAAATATATGATCTGGTATTACACTAGTCAGATTTACACAGAAGGCAAAACATCTCAAAAATCAAACTCTTTGAATTCACAACGGTGATTTGCATTAAGAGCCGCTGCTCCTCAGTGATCAGCAGAGCATGTTTTGGAAATAATGTACCCAGCCACGTAGTTTCATATGAAGATGTACCGTAACTCATCTAAACACAATGCAGTGAGTCATTTGATTTCCATTATTCTCCCAGCGACTGCAACAAGAGCCCAAATAAATGACAGTGTGGTCTCCATTGTGGTAACCCTACAGAGGTGAGTAAGTAAGACGGAATTTAAACTGGTATTGATCGCTGTCAAACCAACAAACGAGCCGCCTCCTTAATGGGTTCTATTTCATCGGTTGTCCTCATAAGCTCGGATCACTTTAAAACCTTTAACTGTTTCAGAGGCTGAACAAAAAGCCAAAAGATGGTGAAAACATTTGATCTTTAGGTCTCTTTTATTAGAAGTTTGTTATCCCCATTTCAGATGACCTGGTGGTGGATTTTTAGCTGCAAAAACAATCCACTATCTATAAAATGTCCATATTTGTTATCATTTTATTTTAAAACAGCAACCTAATTCAAATTTGCATTCATTGTGTTGTGGTATGTTGAATCTCATCATATTCTATACAAATCCCTAAACAAATATAAAACCAATTAGTTCAAAAAGACATTTGTCTAAACTTGTGTAAATCTGGGCCAAAAAGATAAAAGGGAAGCCGAGCTGTTTCCACAGAAGCCACCCTGATTCTAATTTTTTTGCAGCATCTGGTATGCCAGCGATATTCTGTGTTGGTTTTGGGTCAGATGATCACTCATTATTCCCACAAAGCGAACAGATACAGTTCAGTTTGTAAAGCAAGACTTGAATGACTTCAACATGAAAGCAGCACTAGAAAAGAAACACAATCAGATGGCGTCTATAAAAAGACTAATTCCCCACATCCCAGCTCCTCCTCGCGAGTTACGGCCTCCAGCAGGTCTCCGACGAGCAGCTGAAGCTGCTCCGGTTGCCGTGACAAATGAGTAAAATGTTTCCCTGTCCTTTAATGGGATGTTCCCAAATCTGCGTTAATGACGGAGAAAATGGTGGTGGATTATCATTAACACCTTTAAAGAGCTGTATAATATTACCATCATTTTATGATGAACAAAACAACAAGATGAGACAGAAGCATCCAACGTCTCCTCAATGTCTCACGCACATTTCATGAAACACCGTTCAAAACAACGAAACAATCACCGAGCTATAAAATTCACACAGTAAAAACACTTAACTCATGTTGACATTTCAAATGAACGTCATCGGCCAGTGAATCACTGCCTGACAAAGTGAAATGTCAATTCATGCTTGTGTAACTGAGAAATCGAACAAATGGTGTTGATAAAAGAGAGAACGACAAAGTAGCGTTTCTGTATTTCATTTCTTATGGCAATTGGCATTAAATGGAAACAATTTACACAAAAGCTGTTGTTTTAATTGTACGGTAAGGAGAAAAAAAAGTAATATATTCATGTAATTCAGGAACTATGATAGAAATATCAGAACAAAAAAGCTAAATGTTATAACTAGCTCATATTAGGATAACCATGGGCTGCGTTCATTGTGTCCAACACAGTCGCACTGGGAATGATAACTATACGCCTGTCATCTTTGTGTGGAATAGAAATGTTCAACTTGACAGAAAAATGGGGAGTAGAGTGTGAGAAACATCAAAATCCTCACACAAGAGCATGCACGTTGTTGTGTTGTTTGAATAGACGCCTATATAATATATAATATACCAGGCTGCACAGTTGCACAGATAACATTAATTGTGTAATTTGCATCTCATGAACCACCAGGGAACTGAGGTTTTGATCGGAGGGTTTTAGGACCATGAGGAGCCGTCTCTTGTGGAGGAGACCACGGGAGGAGGAGAGGAGACCAAGGTGGAGAAGGAGAGGAGACCAAGGGAGAGGAGGAGAGGAGACCAAGAGAGAGGAGGAGAGGAGACCACGGTGGAGAAACAGTGGAGCATCATTTCCCGATGCTCTGTGAGAGAGCTTCTGAGAGGATGATAGGATGAAGGTGGGAATGCAGAGTCGCAATGAACATGAAGATAAGAGTGGTAAGAGACGTCACTGAAATGTTTGTTATTTGGGGAGCTATAGTGCTTTCTTGTAGGTGAGTTACAGGCTTATATGTCATTATACTGTCAACTAGGACCTCATTTTAATTTGGATCATTTAAAGACTATTTTACTGATCTTAATCCTGTAAGATAAGTTATATAGGATAACACATCCGAAGGTATTTTTTTCCTCTGCCATAGAAGGGAAAGTAGTAATGAGGCATGTTTGATCTTTTTTCTTGCTATTTTGGCACCGCTCTGTTGATGGAGAGCGGCACAGCTGAGGTTCCATCTGCAGCCTTCCACGAGGAAAAGAAAAAATAATAATAACGCAGCTCTGCTCTGAAGTTGACTTTTCAAATCAAATGCTCCAATTTCGTTTTTTTTTATGCTCCCTTTTCTTTCTTTTTTTTAACAACTTAACGCCTTCCTCGTGTCTCTCCAGTGCCAGGGGGTTAGTGGCATCATTTTTGTCACCATGGTTACCAGCTTTATGTTGGTGTACAACAACGGCAGCTTTGGCAACAGATCCCCTTCCTCGTCATCACCATCGTCACGCCGTCCGAATGGTACCGCTCCGACCAAGAAGAAGCCCGATGGACCGCGGCGACTCCCAACGCCGACACTGGAGGGGTACACAAGTGTCATGGATCACAAGGTAAACGTGCGCCATCTGTGTACCGTGACATTACATGATGCCCTGCACAGTGATGTTGTTTATAGCTGTACGTAAAAGGAGGCCAGACGGAAGAGGCACATCTGTATGATAATCCATTTTAGTAAACATGGCCTGAAGCTCTTCAACTTCCAAAGACATAAACGATGCAGGACAGTGGTGCATGTTTGGCTCACCCCGCCCAGGGAGATACATGGGGTGCACTTCAGCTTGGTCGTCGTACATCAAACACAGGATCAGGTTCATGACGTTGCGTTGGGAGGCTGCAAGGCGAAGGGAGTGACAAGGAAAGCAGCTCATTGGACTGCGAGAAGGAAAAGCTACAGGAAATGGAGCAGAGTCACTTTAAATATCATTATTTCCTGGGATGTGCCGCGCATACCTTAATTGATGCACTGATTCATTCAATGCATGACATCCAGGGGCTATTGTCTAAGATGGCGCTGGTAACTTTACTCTCTTACCATTCTGCGTCAAGGAATCTGGCACTGGGATTTATTGCGTGTGACAAATTTTATGTCGAGCACCCACCCGTTGAAAAGAACACTGATCGTTTTGACACGCTTGCCGCATATTTAACACAAAGTGCAGTTCATCTGTATTCAACTGTGATCCCGAGACGAGCATGTAAATGTCAGGTCCAGGAATGCGCTGGAAATGGCTTTTTGAAGCCTCCGGTGCCGCCCTGGTTACAGAGAGAACAGAGAAATCCTCTTCTGTGTGTTTAACCTGTGTCCAAAGCCACCTCACAGCTGAATGCGACATCCAGGTTTTTCCATTTGGGTTACTAGGGACTATTGGAGTTTGCTTTTATATTTGATTTATATGCTTTTCAGGGAGCATGCTGCTTTTTTAGCAAAAACTGTTAGGCCCTCTGAAGGTGATGCACGCAAATTTGTAGCAATATAGGGAAAAGCAACAGAATGAAATAGGAGTTGATTACAGCTTTATTGTCCTCTATGTGTGTATGACAATAACCATGAATCTTCAAGTTCAAAGCCAAACTCTCTGTGTTTGAAACACTCTAAATAATGTCTCTGCGGCGCTCTGCTTGTTGCTTCATAATTAATGTACCCGCCATGAAATATTCAGCGACAAAAGCACTTAAAACCGGATGGATTTGTCCACAAACGGCTGCTCAAGAACATCCGCGCTGTACTCTTTGGATATAAGCGCCGCGGTTCAGTGTTGCCGTAATGCACAGGCCGATCAGGGTGTGAGAGACTCATCGTCCAGATGGCATCATTTCTGCCCCCCAAGTGTGAAATATAGCTTTCCACCCAAAGAACATTGCTCAGGGCCCTCTGGGAATGAGGGTATCCGGGAGGAAAAAAAAGTGTTGCTGCATTTCACCTCTCGGTGATTAAAGATCAGCGATATGAGAGTGATGAAGGTCTAGAGAGAGGTTTATTTTCCGGCCGAGGCTTCCCAGACTTCTGGACCTCGCCAGATTTTACGCTGAGGGCTCCTCTGATGACGTTGGATTGTGGGTTACACGCAAAAGCACACAGCTCCTGCAAATGCCAAATGCCAACAACCTGCCTGCAAAAGCACGGACGTGTTGTTAGGATTTCATGCCTTTGTCAGAGCCAAGGGAAGTTTTATCTAATGCGCCCGCTGGACCTTTTTTACGGTCCAACTTATGTGCATGTCTTGTCTCTCATTGGCTGCGGTTGTTTCGCTCATTTACATCTCGCCCAGGAGTTTGCGAAACGCACAACAATCAATCGCAAGAGGATAAACATCCGGCTTTTCCTTCTGCTCCTTTAGTGCTCAGTGGTCATGTGCACATTTACTGTATGCAGGATATTTTGAGTGGCTCGCCGGGAGTTTCAATCGTTACTTTAGTTCTCTCCGTCGGCCTTCTGCCATCTCTCCGGGTCTTTGTGAGGCGTCCTTCTCTGGTGCGTATTTCAGCGAATAGAGTCTGTCAAGCGCACACAAACACAGATTTGAGTTTGAACACCGGGACGGCCTCTCTCCGTTCTTCTGCTCAGCTCCCCCATCTCACCTCGCTCGCTGACATTTCGCCGATTCCGGTTAACGAGATGTTGACCTTTGAAGAACTGTCGGCAGAATCAATCTACATTGGCTCTAATCACAAAGCCTGTGCGACAGAACGGATGTGGATTGTGGGCCTGTGCCAGTTTGGGATGTACCTACTTTTTGTGGGCACTACCTCTCCGTGCGTCTCACAGCCCACCAAGCACTCAGGAGGAAAAAGGTGCCATGAGAAAGTCAATAATGCAAAATGATCAAATTCCTCCCATCAACGCCGACCCCGTTCTGTGTGAGATGTGCTGCACAGTCGGTGTGACAACACGAGGTTTCACCAGATGCCAATTCTTACATTCCATGGCCCGGGTTTGTAGTCCTCTGCAGTTTGTAGTCCACTTTGTCCCGACGAGTCGTGGATGTCAGCTTCTTTTCGGACGCGGGGGGAGAAAGCAGCCAGACTCAATCCCACTTCTCTGAATCAGCGTGCCGCTTACGAGGCTCCACGCCACCGTCCCTTTATCTCCGACTGAGCTCGACTGGAGGGTGAAGAGGGGGAAGAAGAAGACGGGGCGCCTTTATTCCGTCAATTTGATGTACGGAGCAAGTTTGAATGCGTGTTGCCGGCAGGAGCTTAATGAGATGTCAACTGTCAGGAGGGTTCCGATGTAATGAATGAATTGGACCCCGAGACAGAAGGAAGCGGCTCTGATGCTTCACCCCACAACCGGCCCCATTTAATCCAATTTCGGTCTCCATCGAGCCGTAAGCCTAATTCTGCACGGAAAGTGTGAGGTTTCTGTTATGATGACAATCAATAAAAATACAGCCTTGATCGCAAACCACCACTCACATCAGAGGATGTTTCACATCCCGGGATAAAGTTGGTGATATTCTTATTGTCAACAAATCCCATCTTTGTCCCTTGCTGATGGCGCCTCCCTGACCTTTAAACAGCTCAACTTGCCAAGTGTTTGACCTGTAGGCTTGTACTGTCCAGCCCGCTTGAACCGAAAATGTAATAATATCAGAGGATGAGTGATGGGGTTTGCTCTGAAACCAATTAAGATCCTGGAATCCGGATCAGATCATACTGGTGAGCGTGTGTGGGCGGTAATTGACTGGGACTGGAACCGGAGGCACACTTCTAACCCTTTTCGTCTTCTTCTGCTGCTCTGAATGACACGTCTCCCTTTTTCAACATAGAAAAAACAAACATGGAAAAACCTCACACATGCAACAAATACAATAAAGGCAATAATATAAAGAACATACGTTACACAAACAAATAAAAATGTATTTGTTGAGACAACTTAATTCACAGGACGGTAAATACGTGTACATCAGGGGCACTATAAGCCCCTGAATTTGAAAAATAGGTTTCCATATTCTTCCAAAAGTAACGACACCATTTTTCATATGTGAGAGGTTGACAAGCAGTCGGTCTCTAATATAAGAGAGTGAGTATTTGAAAAGACGATATGCTAGTGAGGAGAAAAGAGCAAATAGAAAAAAAATATCGGCATCTCAGTTGGGAGAATAAATACTCGTGTCACGTGTTTGTTGAAGGGTTCTCGAAGGCAAATCGGACACATTTCCACCGGCTTCAAAGAGGATGTCCTTATGAATAACCAACCGTGCCTCTGGCCTCAGCGATGCTGCGGCTAGTTGAAGACGGGTGGATATGTGAATATTATGTTCCCCATTAATAACTTAACTTAATAACGGCATATACATCACTTGCCTATTGCTTGGGGTGAATAGATATGGTGCCAGAGCCAGAATACATAGTTACCATTTACTTCCTCTTCATTTCATCTTCTTTACACAGAGATTAATAAATCACAGATTGCATAATAAATGCCTCTTTTAATTCACAGTTGATTTGGGGAATCCTTTACCGCCCAGGTTAGATTTTAAATTTGGGTGGACTTTGTCTTCGATAACTGGAGCAAACCAAAAGTCCTCGTTGTCCTGATGCACAGATCTCTGTCTCTCCTGCTCTTGTTTTTCTACTTTGTTGGAAAAGTGTTGTTTCAAGGTTTGTTTTTGTTGTGGGGGGGCGTCCGTATCACGCGCAAGAAAATAGAAAACACGTGACTCAAAGACAACTGAAGTAACTTCCTATAGAGAGAGACGATACATCCTCCATTCGAGTGGGTCCGCCCGCCTCAATGTGGCGCCCTGCGGCCCATAAGCGCTTGTTTCCCAGCACCATCAGAAGCTCGGGAAGCTTCAGCATCCGTGTCGAGGACACTTTCAGTATTTCACGAGCACTTAAAAACCACAACACCGTGTGTTCTTTCCCCAAGTTAAGGCGGGGGGGGGGTGTTTGCGCCGTGAAGCGCCTCATATACTCTGGACGACCTGTTATTGAGGGAGGAGGTCGGTGAACACACAAAACAAAACAGGACATGGTTTGTTTCTGTTTCTATGAATAATAACTGTGATTGTGCATGTGTGTGCAGACGCAACTGGTGTCGGATCTTGACACTTTTTAATTAGAGGTAGACAGAGAAACATGATTGTGTGACATATGTGGGTCTACATCAAACATCTGCACAACATATGTGCACACATATACAGAATCAGGACACACACAGGCCCTCTCGCGCACTAGGAGTCAGTGTGTGGCTGCAGGGATAGTGAGAGAGTATCGTAAACATCGCAGGGGGAGTCGAGCCTGTGGTGCTGGTAATATCACCTGTACTGAGCACAACCCCCATTCACACACACACACACACACACACACACACGCACACACACACACACACACACACACACACACACATTCCTACTACAGAACTTGTAGAACTTGGTGGAGTGTGAAGCTCAGAGCACAGTTCGGAATGCCAATGTAGTTCTCCATTAAGGTTCAAAACAATTCATGTGAAGAGTTTCTGGTTGCTGTCAGATCAATAGAAGCCTGTCTTTTCTTTTTTGGAAAACCTGATGGATACAAAACACAAATATATGACCTATAAGATGCCAACCAACACAATTGTGATGCAATGCACCTCGACAAAGCTTATTCCTGCACACTTTGCAGTAATTACACACTGTGTTGTACAATTTGCATGATTAGATTGTATTTTGTCTCCTTGTGGAGTCTCTAAATAGGTATTATCTCTCTAACTTTCTGGGAGCAGCTTCAACCTTATTTGACAGAATGATTATTTGTGAGGATTTATGTAATGTGACCTAATTAAAAAAAATGTATAATGCATGGGGAGGAATATCAAACTAACCCCTACATTCAAATGACAAGACATACTGAAAGAGCTCACATGCTGTTTTAGCAAACTGAAAAACGTTTTGCATGAAAGCACCGTGTGTTCTGACCAGTGCTGTGCAGTACATGCACCCCTTCCATTGCTCTGATGTGGTCCAAGACTGAATAAATACACCCACTTATTCATGATGTTCCACCGAAGCCAAAGTGTACAGAATAGCTTCAACCTGCAGTGCATTTGAACCGAACAGGCGATTAGCCAGTATAGCTGCTTCCACTCTGCCGCTTCCACTTTATTCAGGTTCTGTGTGGCTGCAGACATCAGTTGAAGTTGGCCATGTTTGCATGATGTATGCATACGTGCTGGATGAAAAAGTATATTAACCTGTGAATACCTGTGAATAAGAACATGAATTCCAAAGTTTGGGTTATAAAGATGTTTGGGGAAGATGCTGTTGTCATGGCTACGGGTCCACATGCCGTGCATGCTGTGCGGACCTATTTCAGGGTCATTTTCCTCGCCATAATCTGGATTTAAAAAGGCAATATGACCTTTAACCTTTCATCTCCACAGCCTCTGAAGATGCACTGCGGGACCTGCGCCCTGGTGACCAGCTCCGGCCAGCTGACCGGGAGCAGGAGAGGCGAGGAAATCGACCGCTCGGAGTGCGTCATCCGCATGAACGACGCCCCCAGCGTGAACCACCAACGGGACGTCGGGCGGCGCACGAGCCTGCGGGTTGTAGCGCACTCCAGCCTGCAGCGGGTGCTGCGGAGCCGGCAGGAGCTGCTCAACGCTAGCCAAGACACCGCGTTCGTCTTCTGGGGACCCAACAGCTGCATGAGGCGGGACGGGAAGGGCCACGTTTACAACAACCTCAGGCTGTTGAAACAGCTGCTGCCCAAACTTAAGGTCTACATCATTTCCCGGGTCAAAATGCTGAAGTTCGATGAGCTATTTAAAAAGGAAACGGGGATTGACAGGTAAGAGTTCACAGAATCGCACCTGCGTTTGAGGGTTCGGGTTTTACTTGAGGCCTTTCGTGTTGCCGAGACAAACAACCGATCGGTGGAGAAAGCAAACGAGAAATGGAGCAAAAGACAAGAAAATGATCTGAGCTTTATAGGTATTGTCTCCTGAAAGGGCAGATACAGTATCTAAAAAAAAAATCACATTTCTGATACTCGCTTACAAAAGAACAAGCCAGGCTTATAGGGAGAGTATTGAAAAGCACTTTCTCATGTGTTACCATGTAGCAGGACTTCGACTTAGTGGCTCCGCACCAGGGAGGAAACACGTATGTTTCTTTTCAATGCCATTGGGATTCTGTCAGAAGCGTTATGCTGTTTATAGCAGAAATACGCAATAAAACATGAATCAGTATCTTGGAGTAAGAAGTGACACAATGTTTACTGAAAGTGACTATATATCAATGCAGTTAAATGACACTATTTTTATCCATTAAAAATGTAATGATGGGGAGAGGCTGGATGTTGAGACCTGAATTCAGTGTTGCAACTTGTTTTCTTCTAAAGGTTTTCTTAAAGTACGGATCTTTTTTCCACATAGTATTATTGTATCAGAAACACAAACACGTCTAAATATTTAACAGCATCGTGCAGAGAAGTTTCCACTACACCTTAACATGAAGAAGTACTCCGACAAACAGAAGGTTTATCAATAAAGGAAAGTAGAAAAACCCAAAACAGGTTATAAAATATTGACATCACCCTAAAAACCAGGCATATTTCTTTTTTATACTGAATATGACACAGGTTGGAGTTTATTTTCTTTAACACATGATAGCAAAATCTGTCCTATCATTTGTAGCCTCAATCAAAATAAAAGCTAAATATAAAAAGCGTTATGTCACCGTCACTCAATGAACTCATTTGCATGTGAGGGCTCGGCTAACAGGAAGATGAGAGGACATTTGCATTTTAATTAAGAATCCAATCACTTCACCCTTCAAACAAGCACACTTAGTCCCAGAATACATTTCGCTGTCATTGATGTTTCTTTTAGAGTTGTGTACAAAGCGCAGAACCAAAGAAAGTGTCACGGTGTGGTTCACTTCCTGTCTTATTTTGTAGTTTTCTGCCACTCGTGTCCCCGGGTAACTTCACTTCCTGCCTTGTCTCGTCATCCCCTGTGTTCGTCTAATAGTTTCCACCTGTGTTCCAATCACCTGCACCTCCCTTGTGTATTTAAGCCGTGTGTCTCCTGTGTCACTTGTCGCGTCATTGTCTTTTGCCACGCATGTCCTTGTCCTGTCTTTTGTCTTGGATGCCCATAGTTTCATGCCTGAGTGTTTTTGCCCCTTGGATTTTGGACCTTTTGACTATTAAAGTCTTTTTGTATTGGAAAACTCTGCGTCTGAGTCCTGCCTCCCACCCGCAACCCTGACAGAATGACGCGACCAAGAAAGGACTCAGCAGAGTTTTTTCCCTTGGACGAGTTCAGGGGAACCCGTCTGGCAATGGGCGGTCCACGGAGTCTCCAGCGGGCTGCCCGTAGTGGGGGAACGGTCCTCCCGGGGGTTCCAGCTGGGTACTTGTACTACTCCGTCTCCCCATCTGGAGCCCTCAGTAGGCATCTGGGTCACCATCCGCCGCCCACCACATGGTCCCCTAAGGAGGAGGCCATTTCGTGGTCGTCCGGCGGCGATTCTCACTGGGAGCGGGTAATGGACCTTGCGGTCCGACTCCAGGCCACCTATGCTCCCCACGCTCGGCCGCAGCGCACAATGTCCAGCGCTGGGCCGCAGCGACGTCCCGACCCCGCTCGGTCGCAGCGCACAATGTCCAGCGCTGGGCCGCAGCGACGTTCCGACCCCGCTCGGTCGCAGCGCAAGATGTCCCGCGCTGGGCCGCATCAGATTCCCGTCCCGGCCTCCCGACCCAAGCCCACGACCCCCGAGCCAGTGCCACGATCCATGCCCCCGACCCCCGAGCCAGTGCCACGATCCATGCCCCCGACCCCCGAGCCAGTGCCACGATCCATGCCCCCGACCCCCGAGCCAGTGCCACGATCCATGCCCCCGACCCGACCAGTTCCGGCGCCACGTTCCATGCCCCCGACCCGACCAGTACCGGCCCCACGTTCCATGCCCCCGAACCGACCAGTACCGGCCCCACGTTCCATGACCCCGACTCGGCCAGTCCCCGCTCCGAGACTCTCAGCCCCGACCCCGACGCGGCCAGTCCCCGCTCCGAGACTCTCAGCCCCGACCCCGACGCGGCCAGTCCCCGCTCCGAGACTCTCAGCCCCGAACGGCGACGCGGCCAGTCCCCGCTCCGAGACTCTCAGCCCCGACCCCGA